CAGAGGCCAGCATCATCTGCGCAGACAGGCATTGAATAATTACCGCCCGTCGCCACTTGCTAATCCCGTCATTCATCTGCTTCATGAAGATTGGCACAAAACAATCAGCCTCCGGCGCGCAGTTTCCTCGGGGACCTCGTCCACCCAATTTGCGGTTTCCTTGTACATGACCATAAAGACGGATATCTTCATTTTATTCTTTTACTCTTTTTTTTCCAGCCTGTAAATGGATTTCTCGCTGGACGTCTGACCGGCCTTTTTCTGGCTCTCGAGGGAAAAATTATCGCGATGATATTCACATTTTATTTATTTTTATTTCGAAAACCTGTCGAGGCTCTTTTAAATCACAACACGGGCAACATTTTTTTTTTAATGGAACTAATTCTCGCAACTAATTTAATTTTTTGATCCCTCATCCTGCACAAACACGATGTATAGATTTAATCGGCAATACAACTGAGTTTTCTTTATAACGAAGGTTTCTTTCAACGTCACAATAATGCCTTCAAGAATATTACCTATAATTTGTGCTGTGGATCTTGAGAATTGAAAGAATTATCTCCAGAAATTCCCAATACTTTGGACAATGAATGCATCGAACAGAGAAAATTTTCAACAGTATAAACTATGACGTCCTTCTATTTTTTGAATGTACGAATTTTTTGGCACCAAAAAAAATAAGTTTGCTTTAAGATACTTTGCGGACAGCATATCTACGTTTCAAAGTTTTTTTTTATTTTGTGTTGATGAATTTTTATTTTTTAACCTTTTTCAAACTTTTATCATTTTTGCTTTAAAAATGTAGAAAAGTGTTTAATTTTGCCTCTTGAACTTCTTATCATGCCATGGGGGCAGATTCTGTGGGGTTTTCTTTCGTAGAGTTATTTTTTGCATCTTGAAGTTGAGATACACATATTCATAGAATTTTGGAAGACTTTTTCCAATTTTTTCCCGATCACGAGCAGTGATTAAAAATGTTCCCAGTGAAGTTTTCAGTAAACTGTGATCACATAAAAAAATTGACACAGTACGAAGAATAATTAAAGCAGCATTTTAGGGTCACAATTTAGTTGAAAATTGAAGAGAAAAATCTTTTAATCCAGTGGTTTTCAAAAGAAAAATGAATTCAGTTTTTCGAGGAGGAAATTTATGTATAGATCAGGACAGCTTCACTAAATCATAGGCTGTCACTGTATTGTGGGTTAAAAACAGTTCAAAATATTTGGAAAATAATCCATCACCATGTGACAGAATGATGTCCAATTCAAATTTAACATCGCGTTTCCATTGAGTCAAATCCAGTTTGAGATCTAGGATGTCAAATTTAAATAGGATTAGGCTATACTGTACAAGCAAGTCACTAAATGTCATGCTCAAGAATGAGAAGATTTTTTTTCTGCATGAGAAAAGTTTGTATATTCCCTGGACAGACTTAATCTCCCTAGAAGCCTTGTTATCTACAGGAAAAAAAAAACTTGGTCAGGAAAAAGAAGAGGGTTTCAGCAAGAAGGTCTTGGTGATGGATGTGCAACCTCCTCCCCTTCACTTTTTTATAGATATTTTTTTTTTTTTGCAACCCGGATGAGTTACAGGCATCAATCAAAACTGCTTCCACAACTACCTTGGCTAAATGAAAGTGACACCCAGGAAACGATTTATCTGGACAGGAGACTGTCAACCCCCACAAAGCTCTGGAAAGTTTCCCTCTCCCTATATCCTCTCTCTGAGATAACTTTGCAGAGATGCTTTGGGTGTTGGGCAGAAGAGAAAAATGGTGCTTGTGACACAATCCAGTGAAAAGAGCCATCAGTTATGTCTTTTTTTGGCTTTCCTTGCAGAGAAAAAAACCTGTGAATCCTCTTTAATGCATCCATGGATTTGAATTTGCATATTGGAAAAGAAAGATATCCATGAAAAATTTAAGATATCTTTAAAAAAATACTCCAAGTTAAGCATTAAAACTTTACTTGTGTCATAAATTTCAGGATTGCGTCAGATCTTGAGAGCAATATTACAGTACATCCATTTCAAAATTATCCTCATCATAAAAATTGGTGGTGTACATGAACAAAAATGATTTTTATCTTCCAAAAGAATGTTTCCATGCCTCAAGTATATCACATGAGTGCAGTAACATTTATGGAAGGATTTTCTCAATTTTAAAGTGTAATATTCCATGGATTTTGAATGGTTACTCATAATAAAACTATTCTGTGTCTTCTTTCAAATACCTCCAAAGGATTTGTTTTCAGTATATACGATTTTATTTGAGCTTGAGAATATTATTCTATTCATTCCAGCCTTTTCCTCGCCATAAAAATTGATTGGACATGCTTGAAAATAATTGAATATTCCAAAATAAATTGTTTCCATGCTGTTGGGGACTCGCTGCGCACCCCAAATAAAAATCAATTATAAATATCTAATCAGGTGGAAAACCACCCGCGCGTAAAAATGGATGAAATCTGTCAACGGCTTTCCCCTCCCCCAAGAAAAAAATTAAACTTTCTTGGCGCCAAGACATCTGTCTTGGCGCCAAGACATCTGTCTTGGCGCCAAGATGTCTTTGATTACCTTTTTACCGGCCAATCCCAGGCCTTTGAGATTCTCCTGCCCTTGATCAACCCCCCTTGATCAAGGACCAGAGAATAAATTAATAAATACCCTGTTTTCATCAAAAGACAGTACAGTTTGAATCTTGTTGCCATCGCAGCGCGTTCAGAGGTTTTTGAGAGGTTTTTTCAAATATCTTTGTCTAAAAATCCTAATTTTGTGTTGTTTGTGTTCTATCGTCAATCATTTATCTTGGGACTTTTTGAAATATACTCTAAATTTTAACTAGGGATTCCACCATGAATTCCTGGCCCCTGTCCCAGGCTGATTCTGTGTTTTCTTGAAATCCTTTTATCTTTACAACCTTCCTTTACAGCACCTTCTTGTTGCGCCGACTTCAGTCACCAACACATGCCTCATGCATTTCATATAAATTAAAAACTATATTCATTGAAGGATTTTTCTCAATGCTCGAAAATAATAGTTTCCATGTATTTTGAATTGTTCACGATGACTCATCATGATGACAAAAAACTGCTGCAGCTCTTTATTTAAAATATGACAAAAAGATTCGTTTTCTGTGTATAGAATTTTCATAGAGCTTGGGAATATTATTCCAATCATTCCAAAATTGTCCTCATCATAAAATTTGTTGGGAAATGATTGAAAATGATTTTTATTTTCCAGCAGACTTTTTCCATGCTTCAAGTATTTCTTGAAAATACTTATTAAAATTATAATAATGGATTAAAATTATTATAATAATTTATAATAATTTATATAGTGGATTAAAATTTATGGATGGATTTTCTCAGTTTTAAAGGGTAATATTCCGTGGATTTTGAATGGTTACTCATGATAAAAACTGTTCCAGGTCCTTTTTCAAATATTCAAAGAGGATGTGTTCTCAGTGCATAATTCTCTTCTATCAGCATTCAGCACAGAGCTCTTATGCACCCTCCAACTCTTAACATGAAGAATACTTGTAAGCAATAAAACCCCTTCTTTGATGGATGATGACCCAGCAACCACCAGATAAAACTGAAGTACCACACTCATAATTACCCCCTGCATATGGCCAACCAGAGGACCCCCTGATATCAGCCAAAACCAGAAGTGTGCACCCACCAAGTTCAGCAGCAAAAAGGGGACAGGGACAGTTTGCTTTTGTATGAAGACACACACATGCACACTGGGTGGGTCCTTGCTGGAGTGTCTGTGAAGGGGAAAAGAGGCAATTTCCAGGATGTTTACTTTAGCTGTATTGGAAGAAGTGGATGATGAGAAGCAAGGGAAAATATTCTCCTTTGTAGGTGATGTCCGTGCATGAAGCAGGATAACTTTTACACAGTGTCATCCATGTAATATACAAAAACTACAAGATCCTTCTTTGTTTTGGACAATTTTTGATGCTTGATGAATTTAGTCTTATAGAATGCAGAAACATCAATTATCCATGACATGACTGACACGTAAGTTGATGAGCTACAGGGAGCAAAATTCAATTGCTTTAGAACAAAAGATATGTAGGTGAACCAGCTCAGAAATTGAAAATTAATTAATCCATGCTTCCTCAAACTAAGTATGACAATAATGAAACCATTTCAAACAAAAACGGCCATTCAAAACCGAAAAACATTAAAACTGTTGATTACATGGGAAAATCAAAATCGTGAAAAAAATATCAAGAGGTATATTTGCATAAAAATTTAGAATTTTTCAACCAAACCATGAACAAGCATGAATAAAAAAAATCAAATGACATGAACCACTGTGATCATTATTGTGCTGTAAGATTTAAAATACCTGATTTATTTTTAAAAGACCAGAAAGCATATTGCAGTAATTTTGAAGAAGTGTGTCAATAATACAATGGGTCCTGTATTTTCAAACTACCTCTGTTATGCCAAGCATGACACACAAAAACATCATCAACAAATCTCAAGAGCATCATGTACATTTTAGCAAATTATCAGCATGAAACCTTCAGTTTTCATGAAATTCGACTGCTTAAAAATTCTGAGTTGTTATCTTCCTAAAATACAGTCAACCCCCATCTAACGGACTTGATTTGTGCAAGGGACAAGTCTGTTAGACAAAAACCCCTATGGAGGATCAAAGCAAATTGCATGATCATTAGCAGGAATGATGGAGAGGCCAGAATGCAGGTGAAAACAAAAGGCATGCCTTGTTTTGCACCCCACTTGGCAATGCTCTTCCCCCCCCCCCCACCACAATGTGGGGAAGCTCCTGTGTGTGCCTGATACCCCCTACAATTTTGTCTGTTGGGCAGGAGGAAAAACTGCTTGCAGAGCTGGTCTGTTTGGTGAAAATCCCTTACATGGGAGGTCTGTTAGGCGGGGGGCCACTGTACAGTTACATACTTTGGGGCTAAAGAAAAAATGGCAACAACTTAAACATGTCTTTCCTCTTACTCTGAATAATTGGTCTTGAATTGAAAAATTAAAACATGCAAACTCATAACTAGCTGAAATGCATGGATTTTGTGTCCAGGATTGAAAAAAAAGTGAAGGACTTTTCTCCGCACCAAAACATTTCCAAGAAAAAGTTTTAGTAGTACAGCATGTGTTTTTATAACTTGAGTTACGTAATACAATTAAAATTACATAGGAATAATACCAAGTATGAGGGGTGGAAGTCAGATGATGTAGGGGAGGAAAAAAAAACAGAGGCAAAGATATGATGTCTGCCTGGGACGTTGTATTTGCTCTTTATGATTAGAACAAACAGACCCAGAAATGCAAGGATGACACCCACACAGCACATTTTGGGCAGATATAGTTTCAGAACAAGCTTGCAGGGTGAAGAGGAATTGGCAGAGCCCAGGCAATTTCCTTCAAGGGTCCTTCCTGTATATATATATACCTTAGGTACAAGTCTCTTCCTTCCCCAGCAGCAGCATCCCAAGATCAGACCTCTCTTCTGATGGCAGTATTTGTCCTAGTGAGTGTGTCACAAGGATATGTGGGGAGATGGATCAGAGGAACCTGTGGGGTCCAATTCTGCCTCTCTCTTCCTTTCTTTTTTACCCCCCTCAGGGGAGATGGATCCATTGTTGCGAATTGTAGGGGGTATCAGGCACACACAGGAGCTTCCCCACATTGTGGTGGGGGGGGGGGAAGAGCATTGCCAAGTGGGGTGCAAAACAAGGCATGCCTTTTGTTTTCACCTGCATTCTGGCCTCTCCATCATTCCTGCTAATGATCATGCAATTTGCTTTGATCCTCCATAGGGGGGCTTTTTTTGGCAACCACAACAAAAATAAGAGATGGAGATGGTTTGGCAAGTGCCATCATGCTTCCTCAGCTCAGCAGCCTTTGCTTGACAAAATTGTAGAATGCATATTCCAGAGTCAAGTTCTGCCTCAGTCTATCTGCAACTGCTGACTCTACTCCTCTTGGTCTCTCTTTATTGTAATTCCACTTCACCTCTGAGAATAAAAAAAATAAATGACATCAGACTGTGAATGTTTCCATAATTAATCAAATGCATACTCATTAAATCGTCAAAGTAAAGCTTTTGAACACCATGGAAGAACTCTGGTAAGTTGTTCTCCAGGGTAGCAAGAGTTACATTGAGTTCTTCCAGAACCCCAACAACAGTGAAATGCTTCTCAACATTCTCCTTTGCTTGCTGAAATGCCCACTGATTATTCAGCTTTCTGCAAAATATTCACATGAGATCGAACATTTACTGTCTATGTACCATGTAAAAAAAAAAGAAAGAAAAGTAATAGTCACAAGCAATCATCATGATGTCCACAAAAATAGGGGATGGTCAAGTCGTAACTTTCACCGTCCAAGAAGCGACACTCGGGCATGCCCTGCGCGACACAAGCCTCGAAGCTCGTGTCGTGAAGTCTTGTTTGATTCCTAGATGTCGCTCGAGAGTAGTAAAACCGTGATGCGGCCTTTTCAACTGGATCTCGAATCGTACTGAAATATTTCACTTCCGCTGAGGGGAAACGACGAGTCATGTCTTCTTTGACGTCAAAGAAGTAAACGTGTCGATCTGCGACGAACTTTTCACCTCCCTTGACTTTCATGTCATCAGCGAGATTTATTGTCATTTCTTTCTGTTGAGTCAGCGAAAAAAACGGGGTTTTCAAGCATAACTGGGTAAAAAAAAACTCCGTGAAAAAAATACAGTTGCTGGCCTTCCCCCATTTTTCTGCATTCAGGATCCATTCAATAAAATTCCATTATCATATATGAACGATTCAAGGCGTGATATCATTTGCATGCATTTATAGAAATTGAAAAATTTGAAAAATTTTGAACATTTTTGGGCAGCAACGCGTAATGAATCCAGAAAGCCCTTATGAACCTAAAATTTAAAGATTTTCTCGAATTTCAGAGTTGGATTCAGAGAAAATAATCTCTCATTTTCTTTAAATTTAGTTTNTTGACTATGAGTCAAAAGACAATTGTGTTACAGATGCTAAGACAAGATTCAAAACATCTTTCTTTCTAATGATTATTGATTCTGCACTGATGTCAATCAAGGAAAGGTTTCAACTGTTGGAAAATTACAATATCACTTTCAAAGTGTTATCTCAGATAAATCTGCTGTCTGATTGGACAGATGAAGAAATCCTTAGAGATTGCAAAAGAATTGAGGAAAAGTTAATTGATGACATAGATGGCCAATCCCTTTTTGAAGAGCTGAAAACATTGAAATGTTTTTTGGAGAAGAAAATGTCAGCAAAAGAAGTACTGAATTTCATTTACAATAATAATCTTATTGATTCATTTCCTAACACTGCTATTTCTATCAGAATTTTCTTGACTCTCCCTGTAACTGTTGCATCTTCTGAAAGAAGTTTTTCAAAATTTAAAATCATAAAAAATTACTTGAGATCAACAATGAGCCAGGGACGATTGTCAAATTTGTCAATGATTTCAATTGAGCATGATGAACTTGAAGAACTAGACACAAATGATATCATTGCAAGGTTTGCTAGTGCAAAAGCCAGGAAAGTGTTATTCTAGACAAATGAGATGTTTTTTAAAACCTTTATCTTGGTGTTGGTTTTTTTTTATGGATGTGATGCTTCATTTGTATTGAACCTTTTTTTAACCATTGAATATGCTTGTTTGTCATGAAATGTACAAAGATGAAAAACATTGTATATAATCAAAATCCATATCTTCATTTCTAACCAAATACTTAGCATGGAAAAATTTATACTGTATATATTGTCTGATTGCAGTTTCTCATGTATAGGGGCGCCATGTGAGGGTTTGCACACAGGTGCCATGAAGGCTTGGGCCGGCCCTGACCCCAACAACAGTGAAATGCTTCTCAACATTCTCCTTTGCTTGCTGAAATGCCCACTGATTATTCAGCTTTCTGCAAAATATGCACATGAGATCGAACATTTACTGTCTATGTACCATGTAAAAAAAAGAAAGAAAAGTAATAGTCACAAGCAATCATCATGATGTCCACAAAAAATAGGGGATGGTCAAGTCGTAACTTTCACCGTCCAAGAAGCGACACTCGGGCATGCCCTGCGCGACACAAGCCTCGAAGCTCGTGTCGTGAAGTCTTGTTTGATTCCTAGATGTCGCTCGAGAGTAGTAAAACCGTGATGCGGCCTTTTCAACTGGATCTCGAATCGTACTGAAATATTTCACTTCCGCTGAGGGGAAACGACGAGTCATGTCTTCTTTGACGTCAAAGAAGTAAACGTGTCGATCTGCGACGAACTTTTCACCTCCCTTGACTTTCATGTCATCAGCGAGATTTATTGTCATTTCTTTCTGTTGAGTCAGCGAAAAAAACGGGGTTTTCAAGCATAACTGGGTAAAAAAAAACTCCGTGAAAAAAATACAGTTGCTGGCCTTCCCCCATTTTTCTGCATTCAGGATCCATTCAATAAAATTCCATTATCATATATGAACGATTCAAGGCGTGATATCATTTGCATGCATTTATAGAAATTGAAAAATTTGAAAAATTTTGAACATTTTTGGGCAGCAACGCGTAATGAATCCAGAAAGCCCTTATGAACCTAAAATTTAAAGATTTTCTCGAATTTCAGAGTTGGATTCAGAGAAAATAATCTCTCATTTTCTTTAAATTTAGTTTAAAAATATGCATAGAAATGTATATCCAAATACTTTCTCCCATTGCGAATCTGAAAATTTTGGGTTACTGTTTATTTAGCTCAAATTTCAAGCGTTTAGTAAAGCGTGTAAGAAGATTGTTTAGTTTTTTTTGTGCAGACTTCGGACAAATATGCATAAGTAGTTCCATTACTGTATACATTTTTGAGGACCTCGGAAAGTTTATTTTGACGTAAGTCGCAAAAACCCATGCATTCCTAATATTTTATAAATTACAATTGGAATAAGTTCTTTCATATTTTTTATAGCAGCATGTGTTCGTGCATATTCCATTCACAGGATTTTCTAAAATAAAAAAGAGAGATAAGAAGAGAAGAAATTACCCTTTCCATGGAATCGAGTTTCCTCTTCTCATTCCCACTGAGCCTCAGTTGCAAAAAATTGTTGGGTTCTTGCAACCATTGAAGCAGGAGAGCGAAAAGTTCGCTTCCGGTTTTTGGCACTCGGTTGAAAAACAGCAACGAAATTGGATTCTCCGGCGAAATTTCTTCCGCTTTTTGTTTAAATAAGACTGACGGGGAAGATTGATTCGTGGTCATGTAAAAAACCAGGCAAATTATTCCTGCGTTGAAAATCGCTGCTGTTGCCACGATTTTTGCTGTTCTGTTGCTCCTCGTCGTCGGAGACGATTGTCTCATTGTTTTTTGTGAAAAACTTAATTTTGAAGCCTGCAGAAAAATTGCAAAACAAAATCGTAATGCGGTACTTTATTTTAAATATCCCTAACCCATTCAAATGTATTCTAAAATGGCGTGCTGAATTGAAATGTGACCGGAATGACCAAATACAATTAAATCTATATAATCCAGATGATTTTAGTCATGCAAATATAGTACAAATGAATCATAAAGCCAATGAAACCTTCGAAAATTCCAATTTGTTCAAAAAACTAGTCATTGCTGAAAATAACTCAACAAAACTGTAAATATTGTCAGATGCTCTTTCGATACTGACATTTTTCTAAATTATTTTGGTATAAATTTCAAAATTCCCTTTATATTCAGACCTACTGTGTGATGTGCACAAGCTCCATTTTTTTTTTAATTTTTTGAGACTGACTCTTTAGAAATACATTTAAATATTCATTAATTTATGAATCTATTTCACTCAAAGTTTCAGTATAGTCCTCTAAAAATGTAAGAGACAAAAAAAGGCAGAAAATAAGGTATTTACCTGTTATCTCAGTACCTACTTTCCTGTTATCTCAGTACCTACTTTCCTGTTATCTCAGTACCTACTTTCCTCTTATCTCAGTACTTATTCCCTCTGACAAATTTAACCTGACCTAACCTAACTTTACCTAACTGCCTCCCAAGATCAGGTTCTGCTTTCTTTGGGTTTCTGCTGAAACTGATTTAGGGAGGCAGTTAGGTAAAGTTAGGTTATGTCAGGTTATGTTAGTTGAAAGATATTTGTAACTAACATAACCTGACCTAACCTAACTTGACCTAATCAGCCTTTCAGAATGAGGTACTGAGATAACAGGAAAGTACCCTGTATTCACTTGAGTACCAGAGCCCTTCAGTAAGATATGCCCCCAGATTTTTCAGCCTGCAATTTCAATCATATCCCCAAATAAGACGCATGCCCCATTTTTAAAGACTGAACACGCGAGTATACCAAAGTAAGTAAATAACAAACACAAAATTTTGAATTTTGACTGAAAGTTCTCCTGCATTAAATCACGTTTCAATTGCTTTAATTGAAAACTATTTTTCTCAAGATTGGTCTAAAATTTCCAGTCAAAATCTCCAGCAATTTCAGCATCCTGTTAACTCATTTAAGAACCAATTGAAGGCCAAAAATATCAGTTCTATCAACAAATACATTTTCCTGCAATTCTTCTTCCTTCCCCCAAATGATTCTCCCACAACTCCAAACCTCTGTAATGAGCAATTTTTTGCTGGTCCCTTGAAGTTTGACTCACAAAAAGTTCAACTGTGTATACAGGGACATTTGATACTGTGTTGACGTACCTGTTTAAGTAGACCTTAACTTTTGGTTTTTGGCAGATGTAACTTCGTGAATACGTTTTCAAGGGTTTGTTGAACAACATGTGCGGATCAAAATTTGATCTTACGGAATCCAACTTCGATTTCAGATATACTCCTCTGGTTGCCTGGATGCTTGTGCCGAATATCCTTCTGGACCCCTTGTGGGGAAAAGTGATTTTTTCCCTGGCTGATGTCGCCTGCGGGTTTTTAGGTAAAGTTAGGTTATGTCAGGTTATGTTAGTTGAAAGATATTTGTAACTAACATAACCTGACCTAACCTAACTTTACCTAACCACCTCCCAAAATCAGTTTCAGCAGAATTTGGAAAAATAAAATTCAGTTTCTGGTAGGTTGTTGTGATTGTGAAGTTGTCCTAAAGATTTGTCTGGATGGTAGTGCAGTCTAGGAATGAGGTACTGAGATAACAGGAAAGTACCAAAAATAATTGTTATTGACCTCACTAAATCTCTCAACAAATGGTTTGGAAGTGGGATGATGACACGTTTGAAATAATTCAGGAGAATACCTCACTTATACACTCTATCACTGAATTTTTTGACACAAAAAAAGTTGTCTCTTCACCATATCAACATTTCCACTTGTTTCCAGTACAGTGAGACCCCCACATGCAGACACCTCAACATGCGGACAATTCAACATAGGGACACTCATTTTCCCATAAAAAATGAATAAAGAAGGTTGGACATGAGGACAATTATACTCAACATAGGGACATTTTGTGATAAAATTGCAAATAAGTTTCAGACCAAATTACAAAAAAAACAGATATTTCCAACCCTAAAATTGATGTAAGAAAAGTTCTTGTGCATTTCTCTCACCAATTTACCATTCATTGAGCTAATTTAAAAAAATTACCTCTACTGCAGCATAAAGGGACATCCTTCTCTCTTTTTCACTTAAATGTTATACTTTCACATAGAATGCCAACATTTCTATGTACTGTATAGAGGTATCAGTATTCAATTCCCCAAATATCCATATTGTGTTGAAATATATTGATTGAATCAGTTTCAATTTGGAGACAATTTTTATTTTCATGGAATTATATGGTGAGTATATTTTGTCCATAAAACACGAATTAAAAGGTACATAATTTAAGCCTAAGGGAAAATGAGACTTGACTTAGGGACACTCTTGATGCACCAATTACAACCACATCTTTGGGTCTCACTGTATTTTTTAAAAACTAAAAATGATGCTTGAGACCAGAAGAAAATGCTGCTCTGCATGAGGAGGGCAAGAATACCAACTGAATCCAAGAAGGGCTCTTTTCGCGTTGCGCAACACGAAACCGAAGGCAAGTCCAACGCGTTCATATATACAGTATGCTGTATACGTACACTTTCACGTGGCCCTCTTTTATTTTGCCTTCCTTGTCTTCTGTCTTTCTTCTTCCGACTTATTCATACTTCATACTACACGGAGTGTAGGAAAAAGGAAGAAATGAAGACTAGAAGGAGAAGAATGAGGAAAGCGATGCACATGAGAAGGAGCGAATTCCCTTGGAACCCTCCTCATGAGTCAGAAGGTTCCGGAACAATTCGATGTGTCTCAAAACGCCGCGTCTCAAAACAACGCAAGCACAAAAACATCACCTGGCAGTTTATGCTCTATTTATTACAATAATAAATTATAAATTTACATGTATTTCTTCTTTGAGAGACGCAGATTAATCAGGTGGGGTTTCTCTGCACAGCAGTCAAGATAAACTGAACCAAAGGTACCGGTAATTATTTTTTGAAAGAAAACTTTTATTCAAAAAATTATTTTATTCATTAATAAAAGGTTAATGGGACAATTGAAAATTTCAGAAACATTTTGATATTACTGTATTTACTCAAGTACAACGCGCACCTTTCTTCTCAAATTTCAGAAGAAAAAAGGGGGTGCAAGTCATAAGCAAGTAAAAAAATTTCAAGAAGTTTTAGGAAGTTATGTGTGCATTATACTTAATTTTAATGAAGAAATCTGGAACAAATGTAGCAAGAAAACTTTTCTGTACTGAAAAAGTTGAAAATTGATCAGATTTTTCTTCATTTCATGCCTAAAGTCAAATTTTTGCTCTTATTTTCAAAATTTTGTGGTTTTAGATTCACTAAACATTGGGGTGCGCGTCTTACTCAGGGATAAGATTTTATCAAAATTTCCAACTGAAGAACCCCTGTGTGTGTCTTACTTGAGGTTGTATGGTACTCCAGTAAATACCACAATTCAATGACTTATTGGCATCTGATATTGTTATTTAAATAATAAATTAGTTCTAAAAAAAACCTTCTCCATTGATCGTATATAATTTAGCATAAATTTTTTCTGATGAAGAAAATTAGCTGATTGCCACAAAATTAGCCAAAAATGACATGGTGAATATTTTAGATAGCCATTTAATCTTTTGCAATGAAAGAACGTTTAATTTCAAGATTTCAAATTTTCTGCGATTTGACATTTGTATTTCAGCAGGAAAAAAAAGTGGAAATAGATTAAGCAATAATAAAAATGAGAGAATCGCGGCGAAATTGCAATTTTGAAAAAGTGAGAATTGTTCATCAAAGAAAAACTCAATATAATTCCAGAATTTTTATGAAGTAGTCGTCGAGCATTTGATACATAATCAATTTCAGCTATAATTGAAGTCTTATGCCACAAGTTGAAGGAGTCACAATGTTTCTATATAGACAAAATTATCGAATTCAGTACTTTGATCGGTGATTTTATCAGAAACTGGTTTTCCGGTTGCTCAGCTTGAAAAAGATTTTTAAATCATAGGTATGTAAAAAAAAAAATTCAGATGTCAACGAATTTTGAATACTTTTCATCATTCGATCTCTCATCATCAGTAATCCACACAAAACTCCCGATAAAATGTTTCGCACTTTTTCAGGGCCACAATTTGCTTGAATGCGTGCGTTGCTTAAGTCGAAAGATTATAAAAGTTGCAATTGAAAAATAAAGTACTGTTTAGAATGAATAAAGCCAGTTTCGAGGTCGATTGGAACATAAAATAAACTGACACTCGGTTATAAATTCTGATACTCGAGTACTCCTGTATTCAGTTGACACTCGTACACCAGCAAGATTTCTTGAAAATAACCTCCTAAAATACCGAAATATTATTCAAGAAATTTTCGTCCTGAACCGTGAAGTGGTCAATTGGGAATTCTAAATAAGCGCAAAAAGGAAAGGAAAAAGTTTACAAAATCTTCAACAATTTTCTTGGATCATCGGAAAAAAGTCAGGTTCCGGTAAATATTAGTACATTAGATTGTCCTTGAAATACTGTTTTTGGATAATTTGAATTGGTGTTCGCATGAGAAAAAATCACGTATGTGAGTATTTGACATCGCCTTTTTTTTAAATCAAATTTGAGCCGTTTGTTCAAATTCTCATAATTACACGCGTCTAAGAATGAACGCGTTCCAACCTTTTGAGAAAGTTATATTTCAAATACCATAAAAAATTGTTTACAATTTTTAGGGCGAGGAAAAGACCCAGCAAATAATCAGCAGTTTAAAGCGTGCCTTTTTCCGAAATCGGAGTACGGAAAATTTGAAAATGTTTGCAGTTTTTTGGCTTTTTTTAAATTGTAAGAGGAAAATGGATAAATCAGAGGTAACGCTTACATTTAACAAAGAGTTTCTCGGAATAGGAAAATGTTCCCTTCTGAAAAATGGTGTTACTGTATTATAAATTCTGGCTATTATGTTCCATTTCTGACTCGCAAATATGTAGAACATTTTGAAAGCTTCCGAAATGTCGGGGAAATTTGACCGGATTATCCATGAATCGGTGACACCCGTCCAGTGCGTGGATTTTTATTCAAATGACCCCGTTTCTGTGAGTCTGACAAACAATTGAAAATTTTCCATTTTTTCATCGTTTAGAGTTTCTTTTTTGCAGCTCGACGATCACAATGCATTATCCAATTACAAAGGACCTGAGGAAGTGGTGAAAGCATTGATGGAAATCGAGCCCAAAGTCGAAAACATCGCGAGGATTCTGGACGTTTGCGCGGGAACTGGTAGACTGGCAAAAGTGGTGCGTCCTTCATCTTGTTTTAATCTTTTTCTCGAAAGTATTCGTTAGGAAATGTTCGATGTATTAATCAGTGATGTACATTTCGTCAACAGTTGATTAATAACGGATTCCATAATATCGATGCGTTGGACGGGAGTCAAATGATGCTTGAAGAAGCTCTGCGACAAGGACTTTACAAAAATACCGTCGTTTCCATGATACAACCGGATTTGAGGCTTCCGATTGCCGATGGTGATTGTAAAAGGAAATACAGTATTTCAAAAGAATACATTTCAATTTCATGAAAAATTTTAAACATAATATTTCTGCGAGCAATTTTAAATTTTTTCACCCAGTCTTATATACATGCGTGGAAAAGTCTTGATCGAGTTCGTGAATAATATTATGGCGCGGTTTTTCTTTCCCCGTTTCAACTAAAGATGTTAATTCTCCGAGTCCATGGCTTAAGATTCTGAAAATTTTTAAAAGAACATTTGCACTCAAGTTCGATTCAGAATAATGACTCAGTGATCGATTGATGGCTTTTTTTTAATTTATATAGATTCTTATGACGTGATCACAGCCAGCGGAACATTTGCTCCCGGACATTTGTTCTCCGACTGCATCCCGGACTTGATTCGAGTGTTGAAACCAGGTCAATGAAATCGAATTTAACTCCTGAAATCATTTCAATAAGAATGATCCGATTTGTTTCGCAGGTGGTGTGATGATTTTTGCGATGAGAACCAGCTATGAAAAGCTCTCGGAGCAATTTGGAAACTTCGATTCCAACATTCTCCGGTTGGTGCGATCCGGAGAAATCGAGTTCGAAAAACGAAAAATTCCCATTTACAGATGGGATGTCAGTGGATTTATTTACATTTTGAAAAAGTCTTCTCACTGAAATCGTCTTCAGAAGTATATACGCGGAAAAATTTTTCGCCCTCGATTTTTCTGAATTCCGAAACTCAGAGAAATTGAGTACGAAAAAGTTCCCGGTTGTACGATAATATAATGAAAACAACAGCAATATTCTGTATGAAGTCATTATTATTGTGCCATTCAAGCTGCTTTGTCCGACTCATCTCGTCCAGAATTTTCGAATCCGTTATTGATCAACACTGTTGATAAAATACATCATATCTGATCGATACAGTAAGCATTTTCTAACGAATATAACCTTAGAGAAAATGAAGAAATACCGTAATTTCATGACAAGTTGGACGCTTTCGATTTTTGCAAGTCTACGATGTTCCGGCGCAATCCACCAGAATCCTCGCGGTCTTTTCGATCGAGTTTTGGCTTGATTTCCATCAATTCTTTCACCACTTCCTCATCGGGTCCTCACTAATTTTAAATTATTGTAATCAACCTGCAAAAAAACGAAAACAATTAGAGAAGGGAAGTGCAATTTTTTTGAATTTATTGTAATACTCACAGAAACCGGATCATTTTAATGAAATTCCACGCACTGGACGGTTGTCACCGATTCATGGATAATCAGGTCAAATTTCCGCAGCATTTTTGAACCTTTCGAAATTTCCTACTCTTAAATATTTGAGTAAGAAATGGAACATAATATCCGGAGTATGAAAACATCATTTTTCAGAATAGAAAAATTTCCCATCCTAAGTAATTTTGGGAAATGTTGACCTTTGTGTCATTTCAAAAGAGATGATGAAAATATGACATCTGGAATGGAAAGAAAAATTCAAATAAGCTCCCTCTCCGTGACGTGCTCGATGCCACAACCCGATAAGCAAGTCATCAAACGTGACAATAGTTGAACTTCTGGAGTCAAAAAAGATACTTGATGTTCTATAAGATATAACTGCCCAAGGACAAGACCCTCATTATAATACTAAATCCCAGCTGGTCAATAAAGCATCTAAGGATTACGATTCAAAGCGATATTTTTACTTTTTTTTATGAAAAGGCTTTTATTCTGAGTTTCCACCCACCATTTTCGGCCGGTCGTAGCAGTTAAAGAGCCCTGATATTTAGATTAGATGGACTGCTGATGGGAAGGACTGATGGATTTTTTTTTCAAGCATACTGTTTTTATCTCAGTGAAAAGAGGGTTTTGCTCGGTGAGAAACCCACTAGCGTTCTTCAGTTCCTGGCTGTTGCTTGACGGAAAATGGTCCCTAAAAACCTGGTGAAAATATAATCCGACGAAAAAAATTGTACGTCAAAAGTTTCTCAAATAGAGAGTGAATGGAAACGATTCCGCAAGCAGTTCAACTTTAATCAGAAGTTAGTTTCACTATATGTACGCGAGGAAACTTCTTATGCACGCTTTTTCTTAATGGGAGGGGAAACTGCAGTATATGTACGAAGAAATCCACCGAAACTCACTCAAATATGTTTCCGATTTATTTCACCATATTTTTCACAAGCGGATTTTTGCTGTTCGCTGATATGGTTTTTTCCCCATACGTTACTTCATCAGTTCGAAGTGCGCGGCTAAATTCTCGAATACAGTATATTATTTCGACGAATTTTGTTCAGAGGGAATGGAAGAAAATAAACACACGATTTATACTGTCCGCTGGTAAGAGAGGTGTCGTGGTTTTACTTTTAGCAACAAAAGATTATTAGACAGTACAGTACAGTACTTGCAACTTGCCACTCCTGTACTTTGTTGCGGTCATAATTGGAGAATTTCTGATCATTCGGGGTCAGGGCTATTGACGTACCACAAACACTTGATTTCTTAAACATACAATATACTGTACAGTACAGCAGGCCTTTCCAATTTCGCTGAAAGGTAAAAATAATTCCGAGGAGTTATGAATCAGGCTGTGGACCCATGATGACAAATTTTCATGCTAGCGCTGCAATTTTACTAGCTTTGAAAGTGACCGACCAATCAATGTGTCTGGTGAGAGCAAGTTCGCAGAAACCAGGGCATAACTGATGTACCAAATTACCATACACTCCTGAATTTGCATGATAGAAATGCTATCCTGGGTTTATTGCTGGATCTTAAATCATCATCAGAACTATTGTTGGTATTATTCGTTGAAATAATGTACTCTTCTAACTAAATATGTTTTATGGAGACTTCCAAAGAACTGCTGATGAATGTCATTGTCAAACGTTTATGCTGTGTTGTATCATTACATCTGCTGCAGGATACCTTGCATACGATCGAAAGGCGAAATAAACTTTTAATTTTATAGTTTGTGAAAGAATTAGGGATTACGAAAGTTGCCAGGGAATGTTGGCTGCTTTGGCGAGGATCATGTACAACTTTGATCGTGACGTCGTAACTGACAAATTGTCCCCGGACGAGTGTATAAAATATTATTCAAAGCAACCCGAGCGTGTAAGTAACATTTTTGAAATTTTTCGAAGAATTTTAATCAACTGAAATTCCTCTATTTTTCTAAATATTTATAGTACGACGAAGATGTTGAGGCCTCGAACTACAAAGGGCCAGAAGAACTTGCGAGAGCAATTGCAGAATTCAGTCCGGCGTTTGACAAAAATTCGAGGATTCTCGACATTTGCGCTGGGACAGGACGCTTGGCAAAACAGGTTTGAGAATTTGTTATTCAAATCTTCACCAAAATGAACACAATTGCGAAGTTTACATTTTCGACTTTAGTTGAAGAACTTTGGATTTGAGAACATCGATGCTTTGGATGGTAGTGAAGCGATGTTGAAGGAAGCTGTCAGTCAAGGAATCTACAAAAATACGTTCGTGTCCATGATCAAATCGGATGGTACTTTGCCGATTGAGAACGGTGAGTTAAACTTGGAGTAGATGTAGCTCCTTCAAATATGATTCTCAACTTACTGGCCATATTATTGTTATAGATTCTTACGACCTTCTGACCGCCAGTGGAACTTTTGCCCCAGGTCACCTCTACTCAGATTGCATCCCAGTTTTGCTCAGGGTTCTGAAACCAGGTATATTTCAGACAAATCTGTGACGATCATTAGAGTTGTAATTTTTTAACCTCATGGTATACTCTTTCAGGTGGAATGATGATCTGGGCAATGAGAGAGGGCTATGAAAAAAAGTCACCACAATTTGAGAAATTTGATCCTGACATCGAAGCTTTGGAACAGGCTGGGAAAGCGAAACTGCTGGGGAAAAAGCATATACCCTTGTATCTGTATGAAGATGGAGGCTTCATTTATATGCTGAAGAAACTTTCAAACTGATTCGCAGCATTTCTGCTGTTGATTGCATGACTATCATTTTTGTCATGTATTTTTGTTCTATGAATGTGTGTCACTCTTTTCAATGAAAATACAAAAGTGATGCGTGGATACTTCCAGTCTTCACAATTCCGAGGAAAAACGACTATAATGATGTACAATGTAAACAATTGGTCAGATGGTGCCTGCGTGCTCATCCTGGGAAACCTAAACTTGACAAGACTTTATATAAATTTACCCTATATTTTAAATTAAGGATTCATAGTATTTTTCTCACAAAATACAAGGCAATGTACTGTACAGAATTACTTTATGTTTCTTTGTGACGTCTCGAAAAGCCGGTTTCCTGTAATGTATGCCAATATGGTGCAGTATCAACCCCTGATGTGGTGTATTTAATACCATACCACCCCCTTCTGCCGTTCAGAATTTTGAAAGTTGCGTGCAAGACAATTGGGAAAATTTGTGCTAAATCACCCTGAGGTATATACGATAAAGTGACCGAATATATATATGAACGAACTGTCGGGGACCTTTGATGCGGTTAAGTGTTTTTCAAAATTGCTCCGGATTCCGTGAAACGACGGAGACACGAGTGAACCGTGCATTGAAATATGGGTGGTCGAGAGGCAAGATGATCACAGCATCTAATTTCTGGATGGCGAGCTCTTAGTTACCAAAATTTATGTTTTCTCAGGCGTATGATACACTTCGGGGAAATCAAGCTGCTCCTCCCCTCGTGGCAATCAATTGGAGTGGCAAGCTCTGCGGATTTCGACAATGAATTCGCGAGTGGGGCACGTTGTTGAAACCTCGTTTACCCGAAAATTATTGCCCGCAATCCCAAATGAGGTGGATCGAGCAAAGCGGCAAGCTCAAAATAGTGCACGTGTTTATGGACGTTACTTGAAAGAATTCTTACTCAGTAGTGAGTATAAAAAGATCAAAGATGATCCACCCCCCGGCATCTACGTGATTCCCTACGGAAATTCCCCGCTTATATGGCACGGGGTTCTTTTTGTACGCCATGGATACTTTCAAGGCGGCGTGTTTCGATTTAGGGTTGAAATACCGGAGGCATTTCCTGAAACGGACGAATGTCCGAAGGTAAGATCTGATATTCCTCACTCGTTAGCACTTTCTGCGAGAATATATTTTGTTTTAGGTGATATTTGTTCCTCCATTGTACCATCCGTTAGTGGATCCAGAAACGGGGGAGTTCGACTTGTCGAACGTTTTTCCTAAGTGGTGTTGCAGTTCGAACAGTCTTCAACAAGTCCTTCGGCATGTGCGGAATTCTTTTTATTCTGTGAGTGGAACTTTTTCTTTCCGAAACGTAATAATCCTGAGGGTGTCCCTGTCCTCAGATTCAGGATCCAAACCCGGTCGATTTTTGGCGTCGCGCACGGTTAGAAGTCGAGTCAAGCCACCGTCGTGTACACGAAAGAACCCCGGATGGTGACGATCCACACGCAATCGTATTTACAGAGTATCTTCCACAAATCCACGATATAATGCGTGTTGCCTTTAAGAAACCTCAAATGGAGTATTCGTCCCAGTATGTTCCAATCGGGCTTTCATACATGCGAAGACCCGGGTCTTCCTCGCCGGATAATCCCGAATCAAACAATCGAATTGAACCTGATTTCGTAACAATGTGATGCGTTTTATGAATGGTATTGAAATGTTTCTCAGTTTCTGATCCTTGTGAGTTGTGAGGATAAAAAGACCGAATTTACCGAGTGATACAGTACGACTGCGCTCATCGCTTGTGAATGAACAAATTATCTTCAGTCGTAAAGCGGACTCTTCCTGGCGTGAGATCTGATTTTATTCCCGTAAGGTTTCGGTGTGTGTTGACGATATGCGATGATTGAATCCGCCGTCAGCATCCTCCGTGTTTAGAAGGTCAGACTGAAATCTGAATGTAATAATTTTTTTTGATATAGCATTGGTTCGTTTGATGTAGGTTGCTGAGTCATCCTTGGATGAAAATGCGGCGTTGATCCCTGAACCTGTTCAGTGGCGAACTGTCGACGTAAGCGGATCCTGAGGGTTGTGATGAAAATTGGGAGTTCTGCTTCTTTTTAATAAATCCGTGATTCTTCGAAAAAATGACTGATTGCGAGAGACCTTCAGGCGTTGGCATAATTGCCATTGATATTTATTTCCCTGCTCAATATGTGGATCAATTGGATCTTGAGAAATTCGACGGTGTCGATGAAGGTGAGTAGTAGTGTAGGCGGACATTTTTTAGGTAATTTTAAAGTCATGGTGGTTTTCTTCAGGAAAGTACACCATCGGTTTGGGACAAAAACGCATGGGAATTGCAACTGATCGCGAGGACATCCATGCGTTGTGCCTCACCGTGGTCAACAATCTCATGGACAAAGCTGGAATAGGTGAAGACAATTCAGGTCACAATTTCTTCTTCAACCTGTGCATGAATCCCGTACCTTTTTTTTCAGCATGGAAGGACATCGGACGCCTTGAAGTGGGCACTGAAACAATCATAGATAAGTCGAAGTCCATCAAAACCGTCCTATTGCAATTGTGGGACAAATACGACCCGAATGGCGAACGAGACATGGAAGGAATCGATACAATCAATGCGTGTTACGGTGGAACTTCAGCGTTATTCAATGCTGTGAATTGGATTGAATCGTCTGCGTGGGACGGTATGTTGATCATTGACACAAGCCTGCCTCAAGAGTTGGCTGAATTAGTTTTCAACCGGAAATTGGCATGTAGTTGCACATTTTCAATCACTGTTTCATGCGAATCAGTTCAAAGGAAACAAGTTTTGAAACTTGTGAATTAAATTTTGGCAGGATGTCTGATCCTTTTTTCATCTTGGATTGTTGCTATTTTTATTCAGTGCTGTTGACTTTGCGCCGAAATATCTTGCTCGAATTAATTTTTTTTAGATTTTTGAAGGAAAAACAGCGATACAAATATTATTCTGTGAAACGTTAAAACGTGTTAGACAAAAAATATTGGGTCCACTCCTCAGTGTTCGTTCTCTATTCACCCAAATAAATGAAAGGGGAACACGAATGTTATAGTCTGATTAAAAATTGAAAAATTTGCAATAATCGCGCGGACTGGAAACCTTGCTAACGAAAATCGATTGAAGTACAGTATTGTACTTGCTCAGTTAAGTGTCGTGAAGAATAGCCGTTTTGAAGTCGAAGTTAGCATTTTCTGGTCCACGATATTTTTCTAATGCTTTTTTCGAACCATCTATTGTGAGTGGTGACTACTCAATGCATTAGAAAATTTTTCATAATTGGAATGTTCCGAGTATTTTGTATTTCTTGAATTGAATACTGTATACATGCGTGTTTTCCAGGAAGGTATGCCCTGGTTGTGATGGGAGATATTGCTATTTACGGTCCAGGCAATGGCAGACCAACAAGTGGCGCTGGAGCTGTGGCGATGATTATCGGACCGGATGCGCCATTTGCATTGGAGAGAGGTTTTTTTTTGGGATTTATTTTTGTGCATTCAAGTAAATTTACAAATATCTGGACAATAAATTTCTAGGAACCCGGTCAACATATGCAGAAAACGCCTACGACTTTTACAAGCCAGAATTGCACAGAGAATATCCTTACATCGATGGCCACCTTTCGGTTTCGTGCTATCTCAAGGCTTTGGATCGCTGCTACTCATTGTTCTGTTCCAAGTCGGAAAAACGAGTTTCTGATGGTAAATATGTCGCGAATTGGGAATGCTTTGTTTTTTGCTTCACTTGAAAATAATTATTCCTGCAATAGTTCAACGACATTCGTTGAAATCCATGGATTACATGCTCTTCCATTGTCCCTACGTGAAACTGGTTCAGAAATCGTTGGCAAGATTGGGTTATCTGGATTTCACCAGAGCCGATTCTTCTAATGAACATCCTGACCTTGAAAGCTTTAGGTGAGTCTTTTCAATTTGCCCGCGGGATTTTTAGATGATCTTTTTATGCATGCGTGTTTTAGAGGGTTGAAAACTGAAGAAAGTTATGGAAATCGGGACTTGGACAAAGTAATTGGCTCGATTTTCAAGAGCGATTACAAGTGTAAAACCGAATCCTCCACGTTGGTCTCCAGTCATGTTGGAAACATGTACACGGCGTCTCTTTACGCGTGTCTCTGCTCTCTTATTTTGCAGTGAGTTCATTTTTTAGTCGTTCTCTATAATGGAGTCATGAGAAACGTTGCCAAATAAAATATTTAAATGCGAATTCACGATTCAAACTATGTAGTGCATGTGCAAGTCTCGTGTTGATTGCTCAACTCGTGAAATTCAATACTTATGCATATTTCTTCCGATTTGTATCCTTTTGTCGCGAAAATATCTTCCGGCTTCATTGTTTTTTGCGCGACATTTTTTAGTTGATGAGCTCTGTTGAGAGATTTCAATTTCAGTCAAAAATCTTCGGACTTGGCGGGAAAAAGACTGGGGATGTTTTCTTACGGATCTGGATTGGTGGCGTCCATGTTTGCCCTTCGTGCGACTGAAAACGTAGCCGCTATAGAGAAGATGGCGAAAATTTTGTCACATGTTCCTCGTCGACTTGAGACGAGGATTCAGAGAAGTGCAGAGTTTTTCCACGAAGCTCTCGATTATCGAGACAAAACTGCTCACCAAGGTTGGAATTGAAAAAAAGGCATTATTCATCAGTGTGTAAGAACTAAGAAGGTTTAATTTTATGATGCAGGTTCCTTCATTCCAAAAGCATCATTGGAAGAACTCAGTCCGGGGACGTGGTACTTGGTTTCCGTGGATGAGAAGCACCGGCGGAAATACGAGCGCCGTGTTTGAAAGCGGGAAAACAAGAAGAAGAAAAGCGGGAATTTCCAAGAACAGCATTTATTGACTTCCGATGTCAGGAACACGAATAGGTTTATTTAGTGCTGAAATAAAATTTACTCCTAGTGTGGGGGAAGGGGTATTGGTGCTTGGTGTTTCAGATGCTCGTTGTTTGTGTCGTAGAATCTGAGCTCCAATTATCGTTTCTGCAGATTTTTGTGAGTGATGGCCAAAGCCGTAGAAGTGAGCCATCGTGCTGGGGCTTGGAAACAACAGAATAAAGATCATAAACATGGACGCCATCGAACCAAAAGTCAGATTAAAGCGGATCAAAAAGGTATTATTCGTTCGTCGTACGCATGTGAATCTGAATTTTTTAAAGGGATTTATCGTGTGTCTTTTGGTTTGTATTGTGGTGATTCACGACTCTGTAGGTGAAGTGTGAATATACCTGGGAAGGTTCTTCAAGTTTTGTCAAAACATGAACGTGAAGTTTTTGAGGTACATTGTTCCTGATTTAGAGTCTTCCAGATCATTCTGGAATCATTAAAAAAACTTGAAACAAGCCTCTTCAATTTTCATGAATTTTATCCGACCGCAGCATTGAATTTTGCAATTTCTTGCGATCCTATGTACAATTTAAAACAGCCGCCACATTCGCCATCACTTCCAGGAAAACTGTGATCATTTGGACACTGTTCGATGTACCAAGATTTTTAGATCTGGGATATTGGCACTGGCAAGAATTTTTGATCAATCGAATGTTCGGTAAAATCGAAAATGTTGGCAAATTCGTTGAATTTGCAAGTTTTCATCGAAATCTGATTTCCTCTGGGCATTTTCGTTTACTTTCAACTCGTTTCTTTCTTTGTTTCAAAGTGTGTGACGAACAATTTTAAACATGTGCGAAAATTTCGAGTATTGTTTTACTCAGGAACATTTAGCTTGAAAAAAATACAGGCGAGAAAGCTGAAGGCTGACGGAAGTACGAATAAGCTTATTCCACGTGTATCCGTCGCAAGTTCACTCTTTTTCTTTAGAAATATACTTGGAGAACGAAGAAATGAGTTCAAAGACAATTTCGTTGTAGAGGAACTCTTCATGCATGAATACGAGGTTTCCCCGCTCTAGGTATTATTGAATATTATTGAAAGGTGAATATGAGAGAACTTTGTAGAATCTACGTGTAGATGTAGTTCTGGAAATGTATGCAGTACATTTTCTATTTCTATCAATTTTCTACTCTCTAACGCACATTTTTGAAGTGCTGATTCAATTTAAGGCTGTCGGTCACATCTTGAACCCAAGAAGTGTTGAAAAACTTACTGGATTTTTTTTTCCGATCGCGCACGTTTCCAATGTTGATGCATCCGAAGTACCGTTTTCATGATCAACCCGTTTTCGTTTTCCGATTCCTGGTTTTCCTTTTTTTGCTGATTTATTTCTTCTTTTTGGAAGAGTTTCCTGCATTGTATGTGAAAAACAGTATTTGTCAAGTTTAACCTGTATTCGTCTGCAGGCAAGGTGAGCCTGAAGGCCAAAAATTCACGAAGGCAGAAGCCCGTATTGACGAGAAGAGAGCGCAAGAACTTGTCCAAGCAAATCCGGGCCCACAAAGTCACACTGGACTCGAGCATTAAATCCAAAGTTGGCACACATTCAACCCCGCCGATCCTTGTCGCCTTTGTCCCAGTGTCACGCGACGTGAATACCTCAGAATGGTTCAAAACTTTCATCTCGTTTCTTGGACCCGATGCGAAAACGAGCACGAATGCGCGCGGAGACGTCCACGTGGTTTTGGTGAAACAGAAAGTGCGATTCACGTTTTTGAAACCAGTGGACGAGTTTATGGGAGTGTTGGATTCCGTGAAAGTTGCGAACACAGTCGTTTTTCTGCATGGAAGCGGAATAAATGGTGCCGAGTTGGTGGACGAGGAAGGGAGAATGATTGTTGCTGCGATTCGCGCTCAAGGACTGCCTACAGTGCTGCATGTCATGCCTAAGGTGAGGAATCAAGAGAAATAACATTTATTTTAGTTTACTTCGTCCATTCTAAGAGCGTTTTGTAATGCAGTCGAACCTCTTGAGTTTCAATTCGAGGAATCTGCAGAAATTGAGTTAGGGAGGTTTCTGGTCGGAGAAACAATCATTTTTGGCAGGGGGAAGTGAGGATAATTGAAGGAAATTGTATTAATTGTATTTGGGATATTCCGGGCCTTGAATTGCTTATGGACTACGAAGCCGGAGGTTACCTTCGTTTTGTTGCACGATACATTAAAAAAAAATTTGTGTAGACGAACAATTTTTGGATTATGATTGTTGATTTATGATTTTTGTGAGTCTTGATCCTTTTTTTGAAGTCCTGTAGGGTGGATGGAGGTGAATTACAGTAATTTATTTTACGGAGTAATATTTGGTCAAGTACTGAACACATTTTCAGTTTTTGTGACCCTGTTAAAAATTGGGAGAACAAAAAGTTGATAATGCGCTAGATTATTTTGGGTTTCGGGACAACTTTGATAGTGACAACTGGAATAGGAACAAGTTGCACACCAACAACTTGCAACAACTGGGATAGCAACAACTTGCACAGTGCAACAACTTCCTCACCTTTTTTGTACTGTTTTGCATATAATTTTTCCATTTATTCTTAGCAAATTGTTCATTGTCTGGAGAGAGTTTGAATATATGATAATTCCTTAGAAGGACAGTCAGGGAGCCATTCTGTTTCAATGATATAAAATACCACCTATTCAGAAGACATAAAATATTATCATTGCTTCATCAGTTATATTCAGGGACATTCATCATTTGACTATCTTGGCCAGAGTATTTGTCCAGGTGGTATTTAATATCCTCCAAATGGCATTCAGAGGAGGTGTGAGCCCTTGGATTTCTAAAATTAAAATGTATAAGGATTTTGCAAGTGAATACCTTGACATCACTTTCATTTAGGTTGAAACAGTGAATTGAAACACAAGGGCTTCCTGACTATCCTAATTCTGAGGAATTAGCATATGGTACATTCAAATCCCCCCACCCCAGACAAGAAAAAATCTGCAAAGAAGGAATGGAAAAATTATGTGCAAAAAAAGTTTAAAAAAGATTGTGAGAGTCACACTGTGCGAGTTGTTGCTATCCCAGTTTTTGCAGGGTGCAAGTTGTTGGCGTGCAAATTGTTGCTATTCCAGTTGTTGCTATCTTGATTTGTCAGGGAGTTGATTATGTTGAAGGGATTTTTTGTTATCTAACTTTCAAAGTTATAAAAATTTTGTGGCAGCTGAGTTCAAAAACTTAGACATGCAGTTCAATTTATTACAAAGTGTAAAACTCACAAAACTTTGGAAAAATCCCCGTTTTTGTCTTGGACTTATTCATGCGTGATAGAATTTATTTTCATCCGATTTATGATTGTTCTTCATATTTTCATGAAGGCCAACACATTTTTATTGAATTACTTGATTCCGTTTTGCATTTGAAAGGAATTTCACGTATTCTTTCCTTGCATTTTACAGGATAATAAAATGAAGACAACCAGGAAAGCAGTCGAAAGTGTGGTTTCCCCGGAAGACCGAGTTGCTCATTTCCTAGGGAATGAAGCCAGTGCCAGTTCATTGTTGCGGGTTCTCGCCACCCAGAAACGCCGGGAAGTCGGGTACATAGCGAAACATTCACACATCATCGCCGATTCTGTGGAATTCTGTCCTCTTGCGCAAGATGGCGAAGAAGTCGCTGTGAGTTTTCTTTATTCAATAAAAATTGATATATTATTGCTAGAAATACCGTATTCACGTGACTGGAAGACGCACTTGTTTCAAAGTTGTACCCAGTCAAATGATAAATGTCTCGTTAGCTCAATTGATCTCTTCCAGGACGAATTTTAATCATCTGAATTTAATCCTGCGCCGAAAATGAGAAAGCTGAAAATATGAAAGAGATTTTTGCTAAGATTTTCCTCCGAGTAAAAGCTTTTGAAAAGAGGTGTGGAAGTCTTACTATTGCTTGCATGATCAATTTAGCGAGAAATGAAATCGAAGAGAGATCCAAGTTGAATTTTTTTTTTTTCGAAATTCATCGCGTTTCAGATTTCAGTTTTTCTCGTTCTGAAGTAAAAAAGGGAGAATTTAATTATAACTTTCTATCCGCAAGTATCGTGAGTGGTTCTCGTTTTAAAAATGATGCGCTGTTTCATACACACTGTGCAATGATAATTTATGAATCTAAATGAGAATTTCTAAAATTATGACACTTCATATTCTCATGCGAAAAATTTCAATTTAAAAATGCGCGAAAATTTGTGATCGACTTTTTCTCGATCGTCTATTTAATTCAAGATTGGAGGAAGCGTGAAAATAAGTGGATACATACGCGGATCGCGACTGGATTTGAATAAGTTCGTGCACATACCGGATTATGGTGACTTCAAAATCTTGCGTGTCACTCTTCGTCGTGATCCTTTGTTGGAGCATGTGGCTCGCTCGCGATCTTCTTCAATTGCCATGGAAGACACGAGCAATCTCGATGAAGTTCTCATCACACCTGACGCCAGCAACGTTAGTTTGTCGAAAGGCAAATACTGTAACTCGATGAAAAAATGATCGGAATTCTGCATTTGATTCGCAGCAAGATGACGTGGACCTCGACGAAGAGCTAGACGACGGCGACGAAATGGAGGCAGTTGGAAACGGGAAGGATTTCGAGACTGCCACGATGAAATCTTCCGTCATTAGAAAAGTGCCGAAAGGAACTTCTGATTACCAAGCGGCTTGGATTGTCGACAGTGGAGATGAATGTTCTGGTGACGAAGCTGTCGATGAGTTTCAAAATATGGACGAAGATATGAGTGAGTCGACTTTTTTTGCTTGATTTATTTTGAAATCGTTGGTCTTGTTCCGGTAGACAATCTTCCTTTGAAACTTGTCTGCTGTAACAGAAAATTTGCAATGTTGTCTTCCACCCCAGAACGAGTCCTTGCTTTGATAGCCGTTTTTATATTTTTTCAAATTCATATTACAGTACTTATTCTGTTGTCTGTTCTTTGAAAATTTATTTTTAAAATTCTCATTAATCAGCCGGATTAAGCCTCAATTATTATTGTTTCTTGGTCTGAACTATGATATTCAAAATTGGCTTTAAATTATTAATAAATTCCAGATAATCAAAGATCAACTTTGAATATAATCATTGGTATAATGTAGGTATGAACATTTATGCCGCAGTTTGCAAATAATTATTTGTAATCTAGCATCTCTACTGACTTTAATTGTTCGAAGCTTTTGTATTGTCAGAAATATGGAATTGAATGTATTGCAGTAGTAGGTTGCATTATATCACCCCGCGCCAGGTATTTAACAACTTTTCGTGGTCGATATCTTCTGCAGAAAATCATTTATAGGTGTAGATCAGAGGATGCCAGTTTATGGGTCGTCAGAACAGCACACAATTATTTTTTTAGCTATGAGTTCAGGCCTTTCAGGTGATATAATTTATTTAAAAAAATTGCACCTGTTCTTTTAGACATAGATGAAGATGGCGAAGACTCAAGCGAAGAAGGTGAAAAAGATGAAGATACTCAGACAGAAATCGACGATCGGTCGGAAATCGGGAGTGTTGCAGACATGCCGTTGAGTCAACAGATGGATCTTCTTGCTAAACTGAAACGTGAGTTTATTTGATTGTATTCGTGTGAGAAAGAATTGCGATGTTCTACGAAGTTGTTCGTATTTTCTTTCTTTTGAATTCTAGAAATGAGAGAAGACGAGATGTTCCCCGACGAAGAAGACACACCGATGGACATTTCGGCAAGAGAAAGATACCAGAAGTATCGAGGTCTTGAAAGTTTCAGACGATCTGTTTGGGAAAATCCCGACTCGGATCTTCCCCCGCATTACAAGAATCTTTACCGATTTGCCAATTTCAAGCGGTCGCGAAAACTTGCCATTGCCGAACCCGACGAAGAAACTGGCATTTCTTCAGTCCTGAAGGTGATTTCATTTATTTGTTTTCTGGTTTGTAGCTTTTATGCCTTTGGTCGTCCCAACGTCAGGATTTTTTCTCAATTTTCGTAGATTTAACGTGAAATTGCGCCAAGTTTGTTTTTGAATCAAGTTGAAGATCTGTTACCTCATATTGTGGGCAGGTTCACGATTGTGGAGACACCTGCCGGACGTTTAAAGATTCTGAAAGCCAAGGTTTAACAGCATTTCTTCGTGTTTCTTTTTGATTACATCCCTGTAGTAGCATTATGATTCCGTTTTTCTTATGTGCGGTAATGCTTGATTTGTTCAAGTCGAGAAGGGTTACGTTTCCGTTTTGGTAATGATTCATGCAACACCTATCTTGACATTCCAAAAGCTGGAATTTACGTTAAACAGGAAATCAAAGCTTAATCCGTTTCTAATCTGGCCCGATTGCAATTCACATGACTTTCAAATTGTTGCAGCCAGGAGCGTTCGTTACGCTGGAACTCGGAAATGTGACTGAAGATGTTGTTGAACGAATGAAAGCCATTGACAGACCCATTTTAGCGTTCGGTTTGCTGTCACACGAACATAGAATGTCAATTTTGAACTGCGTGCTGAAACGTCGACCAGCGGAAGATCCTGAAAATGCGACAGTCATTAAGTCAAAAGACCGACTCGTTTTCCAAGTCGGGTTCCGCCGTTTCACCTCTTGTCCAGTGTTCAGTGAACATAAGACAGGGAACAAATTTAAGGTACGTATTTAGTATAATTTCTCGATTTGTTCGCTTGTTTCCAGGAAAAATGTGCCTAAATAGTGGATTTCTCAGCTTTGAATTGACTTACCTCAGGCAACGCAATTTGTTACACGTCCTTCAATATTATTGGAAATCTGACAACCAACTAATTTCTATTTTATTTGGAATAAGCACCTGTATTTCTTTTTTAAATGACTGATAACTGTCGTTTAGATGGAACGGTTTTGGCGACCAGGACAAATCGTGACAGCGAGTTTCGTCGCGCCGATTTCATTCCCACCTGCCCCGGTGATCGTGTGGACTCCGAATTGCAAAAATTACGAAGTCGTCGGCACGGGAAGAGTCTTGGACGCGGATCCAGGAAGGATAATTGTGAAGCGAGCAGTCCTTTCTGGGTATCCATTCAAAATCCAATCAAAGCGGAATGCTGTAGTGAGATTCATGTTCTTCAACCGCGAGGATATCATGTGGTTCAAGCCTGTGGAACTGAGAACGAAACACGGATGCAGAGGGCATATCACCGAACCGATCGGTGAGCTGATGAAAATCATGAAATTCATTGACATTTGTATATTCTCTCTAAACTGGTTCATTGCGTTTCCCGAATATTAAGACTTTTACGGAAAATGCGTCGCAGCAGAATTTCTGTTCCATTTCCGAGCACGTAAGCTCAGCGATTTTTTGTTCGACGCTTGAGAGACTGACACTATTGGTTTTGATGGAATTTTAGATTTAAAAATTCGCGTATTCAGCTTTTCTTCATTCTTGATTTTTCGTATCCCTGTTAGAAAATTAAGCAAACTTTCCAAGCTCAATTCGTATAACACACCCTGAAAAATCGATGCTAGTGGACTCCTTGTATTATGCTCTGAAAAGGAAAAATTCTTCTTACAGAAACATTTTTTACATTTATAATTTCGACGTGAGTAGAGTTCATTTGATCCGGAAACTGTATTATTTTCCGGAAAATCTTGGTTCTTGTGATCACTAGTTTCAATTTTTTCCAAGCGAGTGAGAGGGAATGCAATATTACTGTATTTTGAATTTAAATTTATTTTGAAACTGAGTGATGTATACTTCGATTTTCAGAGAACGTTTCTCAATTTCTGACGCATTCCCTTTTTGCCTCCTCTTTTAGGAACGCATGGGTTCATGAAGTGCAAGTTCGACAAGATGGTGAAGTCGGAAGACACAATTCTTCTGTCGCTTTACAAACGCGTTTATCCCAAGTGGGCATACGAGCCTTTGCCCATCGAACCCTTGCCTCGATCGGCAACTTCGCATGAAGAAATGGCAGACTGACGTGATCCATTAAAAATGCGTTGTTTAGGGGAAACTGATCTCAAAACTGTTCTGTGGGAAGTTGTGGAAGATACATTTCTAGTGTTTCTTTCTTTCTGTGCGTTTTTAGAGGGAAAAATATGTGGTTAGCGAGTGTTGGGAGCGTTTTGGGGCGATTCGTGTTGGGCAAAGTCTCGAAATATTCTCATGTCGCTGGAACTTCCCGGTTGTTCACGGGACAAGCTTCGGATGAGGTGGGTACAGCGAAACATTTCTTGAAATTTGTAAAGTTTTAAAATTATCGATTATTGTTTCAGCCTGTGGAAATGAAGAGGAATCCGTATGAGAAGCAACGAGACAGTTGCGTGTTGTGCAGATTAGGTGTCAGAGTGTCTTATAAAAATCCCAAGTTGTTGTCGCAGTTCGTTTCTCCTTACACTGGCTTGTTGTATCCGAGGAACATTACGAGATTGTGTTACTTTCAACACGAACGGGTCCAAGACGAGATTAAGAAAGCTCGGAAAGTCGGTGAGTACAGTATTCAGCGTTCTCTTGTCTGTGAAATTATTTTGCATTGAAAAAAGTAAATTGATAACTTTTAACTAGTGTTTTAATTACATTTTTTTTGAAATCTATGATGAAGTGCATCAACGAAGTCGAGATTTCAAATTTCTTGGAAGCAAAAAATGGATCTTGATCACAGTATTTTATTATGAAACGTTTTGCATCCACAAAAGGAACTGCAAATGTAATGTTTGTAAAATGTGCAAGGAAATATGAACGCTAGTGACGTAATTTTGCAATTTTTCTAAATGATGGACAAAGTAGGCAAGTTTATCTTGTTGGTTAGAAGGAAATCTGTACAATATCTTGAAAATGCTTGGGACTTCCTGTATATTTCAATGACCTCGCTATCAATCTAATTAATTTCATGGTATCTCTTGTCGCTGAAGGTATGATGTCCAGATTCATCAAGGAACCGGAATATTTCAAGGATCCAGCGCTTTTCGACCCATCGAAGCCCATCAGACCTCATCGTTTTTAGTGGCGGTGCTTAGTTTTTCTTTTGATATAGTGGATATCGTCACAAATGTGTTCTAATGTGAAGATGCATCGATTATTCAAAGAAATAGTGAACTCATTATTTCTTTTCATGTTCCAGGGTTGCGCTAGTGAAACCTCGGATTCGTAAATCCTTATTTTTTTTTCGTCGAGACTGGTGAAGATGAATGAGTGATGGTGTTGTCGGAATGAAGCATAAAACGCAAGCGTATCATGAGACGCGGAAGCGTTTGCAGATGCTGCACAAACAACGGCAAACGTCGACTCACTTGAACGGCGATCACAATTCTTCCCAGCTCGCCAATGGTTACGACAATTTGGACGAGCTCGTCGAGTTTATCGAGAGCGGGGAACACGATGGAGAAACATCTTCCGATCCCAAGAAAGCCGCTAAGAAAGCCAGACAAAAGCAACGAAAGGTGTTCATTTTTAAAAATTTTTTAGAGCGACGTTATTTATATTTTTGTTTTTGCAATTTTCTGACCGTTAGCCGTAATTTACGATTAAACGCCCGAGTAGGATGCACGGGATTTTGATGCATTTGACCAAATTTCGTGTGGTTTTGAACTTTTGATTCCGTTTTTGTCCCGCAATATTAAAACAAGTAGACACTTTTTACAACGAGTTTCTCTGTATAATTGTGCATTATTTTCAATTTTCAGAGGGACGTTAATTTATTTTTCTAATTTGGTGAACGTTAGGTGTAATGTACGATGAAAGCGCCAAACCAGAATTCACGGGATATTTGATGCCCAGTTTCGTACATTTGATAAAATTTCGTGTTCTATTCATTCCGTTTCGAGTCCCACGATATTGAAATACTGTATGTAGACACTCTTCACAACGATTCCTGTGGATAACGAATATATATTTTGTTCCCATGGGGCTCTCTTCCCTCGTTATAGGGATCCTCCATGAAGATTTTTTTCTGGTCCCTTGAATTTTGTTGCACAGAGAGTCAATCTGGATTTTATTTTATTTTTACGAGCTTTTTTGGTATTGACACAGATGGAAGAAAGGCAACGGGAAGAAGAGGAGATAGAAAGGGAAGCTCGCAAGGCGAGAAAAGCAGCGTACTCGAATGGGTCTCAGGCTGCTGCTGCTGCTGCTGCCGCTGCCGCTGCTCAACAACCGATGGCGGGCCATCCGATCTACCCCGGGCCACTGCCGCCACATTACCCGAACCAGCCGCAAGTCATGTGGATGTACGGCTACCCGGGCCACGCTGCTCCGCATCCCCAGCCCTACTTTAACATCCCGAGCTATGGTCCAGTACAACGACCCCCGGCGTACCCGCCGCAATTTGGCAACCCAGTCCCACAAGTGCCGGACTGGGAGACGCAGGCCAGGGTTGAACCCAGACGAAGATCGCCTTCGCCGCCGGTCTCGTCGTCGGCTGTGTCCAAGTCGGGATCCGTTGCCGGGATGATGGAGGGGTACATCAAGAAGCAGAACCAGGTCGGGCCAGCTGCGAATGGGTCGAAGATGGTCACGATCCGGCGCGTGATGGAGCCGCACAGTCAGGACCCAACTGTGACGATCTCCATGAAGGGCGACACTCCGGACAAGGACCAGTTGATGTTCACTCTCGTCAATGGTCAAGGTAACTTGATATTTGTGCTGCCCATTTCTAATTTTTATGTGGAACGTAAATCCAAGTAAACTCGAAAATGGGAAGCACGAGTTTAATTTATCGTCGAATGCCGTAGTTCGGGTGCTTTCGAAAATACATTGGTGTCCTGAGCAACGAACCTAATTCAAACCAGTTTTTGATTCGTTGCTCGAGGCGTTGTTTATGTGAGGCACGAGTAACCTATTGAAAATTATTTAATTGGTTTCAGATTTAAAAAAAAATTGGAAAGAAAGGGAACATGGAAAATTCAAGGACAGACAAGAATACAAACAGAACCTTGATAAATTTTTGATGGAAAATCATGAGAAACGTGCAAAATTAGAAGCACAAATAAAATCCAATTTCCGTCGTGACTTGGATTCCCGTGGAATCGAATTTTTTTAGAGTTTTGTCTCATTTGGGGACGTGTCAGGAAAACGTGATCTCAATTTGTAAGAATTTTTAAGAAATTTAATTTTTCGCTTTTTACTTGGTTCCACCCCCCCCCCCCCCCCCCACCCTTCTTCAGGAAAAAAGGTGCGCTTGGAATGCGGGTAAATTCTCAAAACCTCTCTGTGGTAGCACAAAATGGCACCGTTTTCTTTGTGCTCATATTGTGGTTGACGATCGACACTTCGAGTCACAAGAACTTTCTTATTCTTCTTCTTATGAATCATTTTTGACAGTGATACCGAGTTCCGAGGTGCTGAAGAGCGGTGTGAGGAAGTCAGACCCCGTGGCCAACTCAACCCCGAGTGAACCCGAAGCGAAGAAGAAGAAGCGGCGGAAAAAGAAGCCCAAGAAGAAACCCATTTCTGGAGAGACCGAAGCTGATACAGAGATGGAAGTAGAACTTTCTCTCATGTCCCGTTCCCCTACACCGGACCAAGAAGAACTTGTCGCGACAGAAGACAAAATGAAACAGCAGCAGCAACAACAAGAATATGAAGACAATGAAAGAGAGATACAAATGATTGACGCGGAAAAGCCGGCAGAAATCGAAGGACCACCAGTAACCCCGAAGCCCGAATACTTGAAAGAAGATGATGAAGACGATGATCGATACGAGGATGCGAAAGAGACTCTGGATTCCTGTGCCTCTTCTCCACTGTGTGCAGAAAGGACGTGCAATCGTGTTTCGTGCCAAGAAAACTCTGAATCCGGGTCTGAGCTGGAAAAGATTGAAACGAAAATAGATTCCCTGCAGAAGCTTCTTTCGTCTGCGAGTTTGACTGAAGAAACTCAACGGGATCCGGCGTCCCTGGCCCTGCAGATCGAAGAGGCCCATAAAGCCCTGGGCGCCATGGCGGAGAAGCTCCGGAAGTTCAAGCAAAACTCGATTCCTGTCTCGAATTCTCCGTGTCCTTCTTGCACCAAGACGGATTCTAGTGAAGACGAAGAACCTGAGGACACTAATGGGGAAGAATTGCTGCGGAAACTCAAGCTTCCGCCGGATATAACGATCACAAGAATTAAAAATGCTGATGGCAAGAAGTCGTACACGTTCAGGAGCAACCATGCGAGTGTGATTCCGGCAGAGAATTCTGTCACTATTAAACCTCAAGGTATATCGTGCTAAACATTTCTTCTGAAATTCCATATTTGTCTGTAGAATATCAACCTTTCATTCATGCACATTCTTCGAGAAAATTAAGTTTTTTTTTTCTTCACGAAACATCCACGTATTATTGCTTTGATTTTTCTCGTCAAAATCGAAATTAAATACGCTTGGGCTTGAAAGTTCGATTATTATTTTCGCAAATTTCCTCCTGAATATTCACTTTATCGAGTTGTCTTTTTTTTTACTTATTCGTTTTACTGTTCTATGCTTTACTATTGAGAATTCATGCGCATTCTTCGAGAAAATCACTCTACCTACGATTTTCTCTCTCACCAAAACCTCAATTCTTTACGCTTGAGTGTGAAAATCTGGTTATTTTTTCATGAATTTTCTCCTGATAATTCGCTTCAATGGGTTTTTCAAATTATTCGTTTGGCAATGATTGGGAAATCTCGCAATTTATCGCCTTGAACTCATGAATTTGGGGGGAAAATACCGATATTCGCCTTGCCTTTTATTGAATCGAATGTATTTGGTTTTGTGCAGAAAAATTTGGTCGACCGTTTCAAGAGTCGCCGCCGCCTCCGCCAGGGTCGCAACCGGTGCTTGGACCTGGGCTTTCAGGTCCGCCGTGGAACAAAAATGTGATTGTGGTGAATTCTCACAAGGAGTCTGCTCACAGTGGGTTGCCAAGCCATGAAGGGGTGGCGCCTGCTTTTGGTTCCCGGGCACCACCTGCCACCACTTATATTAGTGCTCCGAGGTCTGCTCCTGGTCCCATGATGCCTAGTTTCCCTGGTGAGTTGAATTTTTGTTAAATAAAGTTGTGGTTTTGTGGACTCCTGGAAAAGGTTTCGGCTTTCATTTTTTCAAGTCTAACATTGTGCTTAAGTTTGAATTGGTGAAAACCGCGAAATCTTAGGTTTTAAATTTGTTGAAAATTTAATTTTCAACTGATTTCGGCTGTAGACGTCAGGAACGAACTTTCCGGAATCAAGATATATTTACTTTTTTTTATTCGTCGCATTTTTATTTTCATTAAAAAAAAGATTGAATTTCGTGTTCGCTAGGACAATTTGAATTGGAAATCGTTGTTTTTCCATTTTTTGGAAATTTTTTGCGAATTGGTGCAATATTTATTGAACCATTCTGCATATTCAACCCATGTTTCTCTAGTTCGTCCCCAAGCAGTGCAAATGCCGCCGGTTCCTCCGCCCCACATGGCCCCGTATTGGCCCATGTACGGATACGGTGGCCCTAACATGCCACCGCACCACCACCACGCACCGCCTCCACCGCCGCCGCCATCCCTGCCACCGATGCCATTTGCCATGCCGCCTCCGCCACCACCTCCTTTCCGCCCGTCTCCACCTGCCCCGCCGCCTTCAACACCCCCCGCGCAACCCCTGAGCAAAAAGAAAGCCAAAAAGCTCGCAGCTGCTCAAAGAAAAGAGGCCAACAACCAGCAAATGGCGTCCGGACCATCGGAGGCCAGCTCACAGTCATGGGGACCACCACCGCCGGCGCCTCCTGGGGGAAAGCACGTGGCTGCCTGGGTCTACCTGCCGCACGCGGACAAGGATGGCAAAGTGGCGTCGCCGGGGGCTGTGACGGCGTACCCGTGTTTTTACCCGCAAGTGGACCCGAATTCTCAGGGAGTCACTTACACCATGGGCGCTGTGCCGGGGTATGGGGGCGGAGTAGACGAGAAAACAGTACCTATATTTCCTGTGGCTAGTCAACCTGAACCCCCCAGCAAACAATCCTCTGTGGAGAAACCCAAGGATCTACCAGCCAAACAGCAACAACAACCTCAGCAACAAGTGGCACAGCAGCAGCAGCCGCAAAAAAAGAAGGGTAATGAGCCCTTCATATCTAGAATATTTTTTTTTTCGAAGACCTTATTTTGTCAAACTCGAGAGGGAAGAAAGGGAGTGCGCAAAGGGTGTGAACTTTCCAAAAGTTTTAGAAATTTATATGAGCATTATGTTGATGAGAAATTTTTGGCCAAGTTAAAAAAAAAAAAATTTAATGGAAGCATTTGAAAATTAGTCGTACTCATGTTCGATTCATGTCTAACTTCAAATTTAGGGGTTTTTATTTTTGAAAAACAGTATTGTGGTTTTGGAGTCGCTAGAAATTAGGTGCGAGTCTTCTTTGGAATAGGATTTTATCTAAATTTTCAAAATGAGTGATCTAGATCAGTGTTCCCCAACCTTTTTTTGGCTCGCGGCCTGGGAAATTTTAATGAAATCCTTTGCGGACCAGCATATTCTCATAAAACTTCCCGCGGACCAGCAACGTTCATTACAATTTTTGATGACCAGCAAAAAATTTTAAAATACCTGCCATACAGTCCTTAAAACAAAACTTTTATTACAAAAATTAAGTTGAGAAACCGTGAAGCGGCTATTAAGTGGAAATCTCTTCTGAAAATAGGATTCTGGGCTTGAAGAAAAGTTTCTCAGATTGATAACTGGAAGTAAGATACAGTATTTCAGTTGGTGAAAATATGTCTGAATTGCTATTAGGAGAAAAACTGACAATTTATTTTTCATCAGATAATTTCCAATGCCATTGTCTCCAAAATGTTGGATTGTGATAATAGACCTCATTACTCCTTTTAATACATTTATTATCTGGAATAAATTTTCCCGGTTTGGGGACCACTGATCTAGGTGACGGGTTCTTGACATTTATTGAAGTATGAAATTGAGGAGAGAGGGAGAAATTTAAGTGCTCCCATCCCGTGCTTTGATTGAGTATCGTCTGCGCAATTCTACGTCCTATTTAGCGGCGAATTTTTTTGCTGAGTCTCGGGATTTCGTCTGAGGCAAGCGTGAAGAAATATTTCTTGATCATCTATTATTGATTAAATACTGTATGTTCCTTCCGGAATTTTTCAGGCAAGAATAACAAGAAAAATCCTCAGCCTGATCCAGGGAAGAAGAAAGACTGTTTGGAGCACTTTCGAAAACAAGATCATGACGGGCCACGGGTGCCAACGCCGATGTCTGATGCTTTACAAATGACGTCAACGACGTCTGGGAACCCCGAACCCGGAGCGACATCTGCTGGGAAGCGGAAAAAGAAGAAGACGACAGGAAAGAAAGGGACTGATATAGTTTCGTGTGGTGCGTACTTTCTCCCTACGAATTTTTTTACACTGTATATTTTCTTTCAAGTCCGATACATTATTTACCATACTGTCAACTTTTGGAATCGGTGTGTATTTTTTTAAATTGATGAAGGTCCGAACTGGGTAATTTGAAGACTCACATGCTTGTGATCAGTATATTTTCCGAAAAGCGTGTTTAAATTTCTAGATTTTGCTGGCGAACTAATTTTTCAGATCATCATGTGACAGTGCTCCTTATTTAGTTTTCCGTGAATTTTTAATATTAATCTTTAAAATAAATCATCCTCGAAGCTCCCCTAAAATATGAATTCAAAAGTCGAAGAAGAATCGATGTGCAAATTCAACTGAGACGAATGTAGTGGCCAAAATATAATAAAAATATTCACAAGCGTTTTAAAACTGTTCTCGTGTGTGAATAAAAACCTAGTGCGATTCGAATACAGCAAATTTTTTTTATAAATCTGAACTTGCTTTCACGAATATTTTGTGACGATTTCTTGCTCAATTTGTCTCGTTTGCAGACAGCGTGTTCGTGCCGAAAAACGTCGACTTGGAGGACGAAACTCTGGACGAGACGGAGAAGGAACTAGAAGCATTTAAAAGGTATGTTGCCTCAGGGAAAAATGCGTCATTTATTACCCCGTTCGTGGGGTTTTACGAAAGTTTGCGATTGTAATCTTTCTGACCTTCTCTCTATTGAAAAGTGTCGTCTTTTTCTATTTTCGAAAGGAAACGTATTTTTTCCGCCCCAAGTAAACATTTACAGTTGATCAATAATTTGTTCTCCGCAATTGTTGCTTCAACTTTTCGGTTTTTTCGCACGTCCCCGAATATTGGTGAAACCAGGGAAAAATATTACTACTGTACTGTGATTCCTTCATAAGGATAAGAGGAAACGATGCACATTGAAACCACCGACTTTTGTCTAAGCCCCTCGTATTTCCTGCGGAACCCGTGAATTACTCTGATGCCTTGCTCCCAGGTTTTGCTACGCGTCAGTGCCTTTGGACCGGAAAGAAAAGGTGAATCTGAACATCAAGGACATTATAATGAAAAAGCGTTCGGGAGAGAATGGGGCCTCTTCCAGCTGCAGCAGCAAGAAATGACACCATCTTTTCTCGAGTTCCATTGTATGCGTGCGTGTGTGTTTTTTTTTTTTTTTCGTTTTGACGCTGTTTTCCCAGACGCGGGATGAAGGAAATGCAACCTGTGTCAATGTTCGTTGTAATTTGAAAGATTCAAAATTTCGTGAATTATCAGAAAAGTTTGGTTGTTATCTTTGAGGAATGTCTTCGGGATTTAAATAATCGTGAAACCCTGGAAATAATTCTCGGAACAAATTTATGAAGCTTCCAAATTCGATGAGAATCTGATGGTGTTCTTACGATATGTGAACTTTTCCTGTCGAATCCACGTTAATTTTAGTAGCATGAACTTGCTTCGAGGCCAGAAAATTGTTTTGTACGAATGTATAGAATTCGTTCAATTAGGTTATGCAAATTTCTGGTTTCCTTTTTTTAATTTTTGTCAAGCAAAATAAAATCCTTTGAACAAAAAAATAAAGTAAAACTTTATAGTAATCCTTGAGGGTCTTATATCTGCTGTTATTGAGGCAAGTAATAAGATCTACGTATACCACATATACCTGTTACACAAGTACTTTATGTAGCAGAACTTCATGAAATCTTGAAATGAAATTTGTCTGGAATCCATATTGAAGAGTGTTTGAGGATTCAACAAAGGTACAATTACAATAACAATATTTAACATGAACATTGAGGAAAAACTACAAATAATTGTTCACAGCAAGAAAAACTATCAAAACTAAAATGGTGTCCTGGATTTTCTGAAAATAAGTTCAGTGTTCTAACTAAAAATGTCCGTTATTATTTTCAGATCACTACTGTTTTGAACTTCGAATAACCTCCCTATACTGTATAAGCCAAATACCTCTCTAAATATAGGATTTCTTCCAAGTCCCTGCTATCCTGAGTTCCCTTATACAGTATACCAGAAACAAATTACTGTATTCAGAACCTCTCGCCTACAAACCTCCATAACTCAAATATTCTGGAGCTCATTTTTCTACAGTTCAGTAAATTATTTTATTATCGACAATTGAAAAAGAAGAGATCAATAAAAGTGCAACTTGGTGTGTTTTGAAAGGAAGTACTGTACTGTACTGAAAGACTGACTGAGCATATAATAGAAACCCCTGTCTCATCATAGTTTTGCATTATCTTTTGTCAACTCATTCAAGGAGCAATTCGAGTCCTATAAATATATAGAATATTTATGTCACCAATACAATTTACTGCAATTCTTCTTTCTTTCACCCACAACAAAAGGCTTGCTACCCTAATTCCAAATATGTTAAAGTCGATTTTATTTGCTGATCCATGATTGAACTTTGACTCAAAGACTGAGGTTCAACTGAACTTTTATGCTGAGTTTCAGGAGATCAACCTGGAATGGACAGTCCTACCACCCGACCGGCGTTGATAAAACTGTCCTGCCTGGTCAAGCAGTCCGGGCGGACACTCATCCCGACTCCTACACCGCAAAATTTGAATAATCTCTTCCGTGGAATCGGGAAATCAAGAAGCTCCTGCATATATCATATATTAGCGGAGACCGCACATGAGAAGGATTTCAAATCTACTCTTAATGGCACAACAGCGTGTGAAATCCGCAGAAAGAACAAGTGAAACGGGATTCTCAGAGGATGCGAAAAATCAGAGAGAAACAAAAAAACCCTGCGCCGCATGATAATCCTCCAAAAATTTCCCAGGAATAATCAAAAAGTTGAGCAACAATAAACCTGTTCCCATTCAGCAGCACCAGCAGGAGCTTTTCTGCATGTCCACCCATCATCAGCAGGTTTCATTCAGACTTTGTGGGTGGGCATCTTCACAATAAATCTAAAAAAAAAAAAAAAACTCGCGGACTCAAGAAAAAAAGCCCTTCCCATTAATTTTTTTTTTTGAAAAAATATGTATCAATCTCCTGGGGGTGTTTTAGTGTGTGACATGCCTGGGTTCAAGTTCCTGCTTGTTTTCGTGTCGCTGTTTTTGTCATCCGTGACTGCCCAACCTCGTGAGTCTTATTGTATTCGCTTTCTGAGTAATTTAATGACAGTATCATTATTCCTTCATTTCCTATTTCAACCTTGATTCAAGCGAGAGTCCAGCTGAGCCATTGATTTTTTCCACGTTTCGTCACATAGGAAGAAATCTTTCTATGTCGGTGTTTTAAAATTCTAGACCACATGCATGGTGCAATGAATATAATTAGGGAAATTTCAAATCAACTCAGTTTTGCTGCTGAGTACTGATGCATATATTTTTCAAAGTCTGTGCATATTATTTTACGTATTATAATTATAAATGTCACAAATCCGTGAATTTTGCATTCATTATTAATTCTATAACGAAATTCACGGGACCAGAAAATTTTTTTTGTAAGGAGAATGCATTTTTATAGAAAACTTGTAAAACATGGTAAGAGAACCCTATATATCAAACAACAAGAATCGTTAGAAATTGTTGTACACAAGATTGTTGTAAAGAGAGTCCACCAGTATGGGAAAAAAGGTCAATATTGTTGGTGAAAAGTTGTATCAGTATCTCAAAGTACTGTAAATTATCAATACTGTATATATTTTGGAATGCAGCCTTTTTCCTTGCCCAAAAACATTTTTCCTGCAAGATTTATGCTTGTAAAATTATTTTAAGTAGCTTATTAGTATTAGATTTTTACTTCGAGCAAGTGCCTTGTAAATAAATAAATTCAACAAAGGGCTTCTGTATGGTGAATAACATGATTGAGTAACTTCTGTATATTTACTCAAGTGTTTATATAGTTACATTATTTCAGATTTTTTCTCAAAAAAATATTCAATCACTTAAAATGCAAGCTTAAAGATTTCAGCCTTGAGTTTTCAATAAATTTTATCGCGATACTCGTCAGCAAATCTTTCTTTCTTCACTTGAAATTAAAGTTTCAAGAATGCAGCGTATAATTTCCAAGTTCTCAAGTTAAATCAAGTTTCCATGTTAAATTTGGTCGCAATGCTCAGCAAATCTTTATGTACTCCTTCAGAAAAATTTGTTTCTTCCAGGCTTCAATAATAGAGGACCCTCTGAGAAAGCAGAAAACGTTTGACTTCAGAAAATTCCAGGCACTCAAATATTTTTAAAGCTATTTTTACATTTTTGATATATAATAAATTTATATGGACAAAGGCTTCTGTATAAATTATTATAGATAGTGCTTCTTGAAAATATTTTGGAATCAACCTGCAAAAATAATGTTGAAAGAAAGTAATTTTCTGTAATCCCTGAAAATGATGTATGCTCAAACATAGTCAGTATTGTGCCAACTTCAAAACATTTTGAGCTCAAAATGAAATTGCTTCAATATGAGAGCATGGATTTGTTTTTTTTTTGCACAAGAAAGCACAGATGCTGAGCAAGATTATGCATCAGGAAACAGGGACCTCATGCAACAAAACCCAGGCCCCATGCAAGACTACCCAGCTGCTGATGACACCAACATGACTCCATCTTTGAACATGGCTTTACCACCAATGCCATCAGGACCAAATGATGGTGCTGGTGCACCAATGCTGAACACCCCAGCAATGGCTGCTCATGATAGTCAATTATCAGACATTGATCAAGAGCAACAACCTGTTCCAATGCAGGATATGATGGGCATGGATGGAATGCAGGATAACCAGCAAGTTGTGGCTGAGCAAAATCTGATGGATCAAAACAAGGTGCTGAATGCTGCTGATGATGTCATGGCTTCACCAGGAGACACTCCTGTGCCAAACACTGATCTGAATCTTGGCAATCCTTTGATGAATACTGATGAAACAGGTTAGTGAAGGTATAAAGTAGTGTTATATGTTTGTGTGTGACTGTGCATAACAGGGCAAAAATCTTGGATTCACCCTCAGTCCACTTATTCAGCATCATTGGCAGTGATCTTCTTAGATATTGCAATTTTTTGAATTTTGAGCAATTTAAATTATGCTTGGAAACTTTTAAATTAAAAAGCTGATTTCAAAATTTTATGCTTGTATGATATGCTTCATTCCATGTCAAAAAATGTTTCAGCTGAGAAGTTAACTTCTTTTCTGACAGCTACTGAAAACTGATTTTTTCTTTTAACTTTTCCTCTTGAAAATATGAAATATGTCTCAGTTGATTGTGTATAAAGTCTGAATTAAAAATTTTCGAAAATTTCCTTGCAGCATTTAATCAGCCAAATTATTGATTTCCTATAAAAGTATATGCCCCTTCAAAGAATTCAAAATGTAAAAGGTTGAATGGCAATGAATGCACTGTATATGTATTTATCATATTTTAAATAATTATTTATTGTTTTTCTCTTTGTTGCTCTCATATAGAAACCTTTCAAGATGGGCAAGGATCCCATTTTGATCAAAACCAAGACCTCACCCTTCCTGATCCAAGCTTCTCTATAGACACCAATATCAATCAGAACTTCTCAAACGTCACTCAAGCATTTCTGCCAAACTTCACTCTCAGTACTAATCCATCTGCTGAAAGCACCAGTACTGAAAAAACAACCTCATCAAGCAGCACTACAGAGGAAACAAGTACCAGCACAACTGCTACCCAACAGCAAGGAACTGAAACTACTCTAACTTCAATAAGTCCAACTTTGGAGGATCTGGAATTATTTCCTCTGGAGCCAGAAAGGGAAAGGAAGTTGAAGCCAAGCACTGCTGAGGAAATCTCTTCAACTGTGCAGGCTGTCACCAAGAGGCGCCACAGGCGTTTCAGAACCACCACCACCACCACCACAACACCAATGGTGCCTGTTTGGGTTGAAAGAGCAGAAAGGAGGAGCCGCGAATTTTTCCCTGCTTTGAACTGGTGTAAAAATAGTGGCAAGGAGATCAACACCAGGGAAAGAGGAGTTCCCATTAACCTCTTACCGAAATATGGCAGGGTTGGGTTCTGAAACTTTGACGCAGATGAATAAATAAGTCTTTCAGTCCAACTTATTTTTCTTCATTTGTTGAAAAAAAGGGTATTGTTCTATATATTAACTAATAAAGTGGTACCTTGCAATCCAACCATCCTCAATTTGATGGTAAAATTTGCAGGGAGTTTGACTTGCAATACAACTCTTGCCCCACAATTCAACCTTCTTTGGGCATTTTTTTTCACATTTTTGAACTTATATTTTTGAATTTCATGGAGTGTCTTGCAATTTGACCAATTTGCAATTCAACCCTAGTTTGGCAACAGCAGATTAGGGTCAAATTGCAAGGTACCAATTTTACTGTGACCTTCTATACAGAAGTGTGCAAAAAGGGACATTATCCCTGATTACAATTGTGTTCTTGGTCACATTTTCTGAGGCTGGGAACATGTGTATATAATATGACAATCATAATGTTGGGCCTTATTAAATTTTAATTGAAATTATAAACCATTTTTGGTGTTAAGTAGGGGCTCAGTTTCAGAACACCTGCTCCAGAAAACAAAAAGTTAAATGCAAATTAAGTTATTATAGGCTCTCCATCAGGGATTAGACTTCTTCCTGCATTTGTTGGTAACTTGAAATAAATCTATGTATAATGAACAGTTTAAATATTTTGACAAGTACAGGAATAAAACAAAATTTCCATTGAACCTGCCCAAACTAATAAACAGAAGTTCCCAGGACAGAAACTTCATCTCAGTCGAATATTTTTAGCTTTTCATCCCAGAGAGGTTAAAATGCACATTTCAGATGATCCTTAGTCAGTCATGAAAGCAGCACCTGAAATTGCTTTCATCTTGATGCACATTATTCATCATCATCAGAAATGCATTATACATCAGTATGCAAAAATTTGGTTGAAACCAAAACTGATGTAAAATTTTATAACTGTCTGGGTTTATACAAAATTCAAACATTCTAAACAGCCAATTTCCCAACTCCAAAGAACAATTGATGGACAATTTTTTCCTTGATTAGGAAAATCCTAGATTTGGTAAATTGTGTTAACTGTCTGAAAATTGCTTGAGGAAAAAATTGCGCAACTGATCAGTTTTTCTCTGCAAATAGTTTTCAATCACTAAAAGCTCTGATTATTATAAGGAAATTTGAAAAAAGTTTGTTAAGGCTTGCTCATTGATGAACTCTTGATTTGAGGCGAACATGAATTCAGAGTAAGTCTCTATTTCGTATTTTCAAAACAAAATTATACATTTTCCTTTCCTGCATGCAGCACGAATGGAAATCGCCGGGGGAAAAAAAGCTGTTGGAAATATCACAACACCGTTTCAAAAGTTGCATAATTAAATTGCCTTCTGTCAAGTTCATCTTGAATTGCGTTCGAATCCGGTTGGCCATTCATCCACAACCAGACAACCTTCAACATGGAAAAAATAATAAAAAAGAGAAACACGGTAGTCTTTCTATTTCATGAAATCTGACCCGCACTTCTCAGCTGAGCAATTAAGTTACACCTGAGCGACTTACTTGATTTCCTATACAGTATATATTTTAAGACACTTTCTTCTTTGTTTGCATCATGCGACACTAATAACTTGGGGCTTCAGTATATATATACAAACGCTTGTGTGATCAGGATAATTATTGAAATTTTGGAGCTTGAAGGTCAGGCTGTGAATGCATTTGATATGAGCATGATACTGGGTTTGGAAATTAACCAGAACTAGGGTTGGATTCCTTTTTCAATTGGATCACTATATAAGCTTGGTTCTCATCCAGGATCAAACATCAGTTCTTGCCTTTTGAGTCTTCAGTGAACAACTTGGTCCACATTTGTTCCCTTGTGCTATCCAAAAATATATTTAGGAAAAATGTTGGTGAGTTTGATATGAGTTCTTCTTGGACCTATCCCCACATTTCTTTTTTGAAGAATCAAAGCAAAAAATTCATTGGAAATCACTATATCACTATATAAGCTTGGTTCTCATGAATCAAATATCAGTTCTTGTCCTTTGAGTCTTCAGTGAACAACTTGGCCAGCATTTGTTCCCCATGGTATTCAAAAATATATTCAGAAAAAAATTGTTGGTGAGTTATTGATATGAGTTCTTTTTGGAACTGTCTCAAAATTTCTCTTTTGAACAATCAAAACAAAATGTCATGAGGAAAAATGTTTTGGAAAGGAAATTTTTTTACAAGCAATATTTCAATTGTTTTGGGGTATAGAACCATAAATTTAGAGTCTTTCAAGTGTTGTAACAAAGTTTTGGTCTCAGATGAAGAGTGGTCTTCTGTTGGCCATTGCCATCTTGGCTGTGAAAGCTGTGGACATTCCTGGTCATCATCATCAACAGCAGCAGCAACAACAGCACCACCATCAGCAGCATCACTTCAGGCCACAAGGTGGTAACAACCCTGACAATGGGGATGTTGGAGGAAAACAGGTTTCTATTTTTAATCTTCTGTTTCTTTGCATGATCAATAATGGAAAATTATGATTTCTTCTCATCAGGTGCTTGATCTTGAGGATGAACTGGACCCTTTGTCAGCTGGTTATGGTTATGGGGGACTTGGAGGTGCTGGTGCCATTGGAGGCATTGGTGCAGTTGGAGGCATTGGTGCAGTTGGAGGCATTGGAGGCATTGGAGGCTTTGGTGGACTTGGTGGACTTGGTGGCATTGGAGGAATTGGAGGTATAGGGGGCGTTGGTGGAGGACTAGGAGGAATAGGGGGCGTTGGTGGAGGACTTGGAGGCCTTGGAGGTATAGGGGGCGCTGGTCTTGATGGTTAGCCGCTTTTGAACATTCACTAAACATATCACAGGATATTCATATTATTTTAAAGCATATATAGCCATCGTTGCGAGAGTCAATTGTGTCCCAAAGCTGGGCAACCGGTGAAGTTTTCAAATTTCTGTCCACCAGGGACCCTGCAAACTGGACCCATTGGCAGCGGCATCTTCCGGCGGACGCCGACAGGAATTGTTCTCTATTACACGACTGTTGGCCTAGATGACGCTACACCGTATGGCGACGAACTGACGGCGGCATCAATGAACTTGAATCCTTTGCTGTCGTATTCTGGTCGCTTCAATGGAGGAGGTTCAACGACCATCAGTAACAACTTCGGTTTCGGAGCTGGGTTCTTCAGACCCTATCAAATGGTGATCCAATATTCCGGGGTTTTCGGGTTCAGAACCGGGTTCTACAGGAGCGAGAACGGATTCATTGTTCCACTTCGAGGTTACGGATACCCGCTTTTGGGACACCTGAGAGGGCTTCGATATTTGAACAGGTTCTAAATATGTAAACNCTTCGAGGTTACGGATACCCGCTTTTGGGACACCTGAGAGGGCTTCGATATTTGAACAGGTTCTAAATATGTAAACCCTCTTGGAATTCATCCTCTAAAAATAAGCTGAATTTTGGAAACGTACTTCTGACTCCGTCAATAGATACACAAAATGAATAATTAGCAGATAATATTTCTCATTTTCCCATTAGAAAATCGAACGAAGAGTCTTAAAAATATTTTAAGAAATTCAACATTGATTTTCATTCATCACGTTAATCTTAAACTAAAATCTAAAAAAACAAAATCGATTTAAATGACTCTACCAAATTATATTTAAAATCGTTTGAATGGAACCGTAATAACAGACTCTATATTTTCGGTCAGCAATTTTAGCTTCGTATAATTTTTTAAAACAGATGAATAGAACAGTCAAATTTGCAAAGCTTCGGAAATATTCAAGCTTAATCACTTCAAGAACCACTCTTCAATTTTTCAAAAATATTCGCAAGAGTTTTCAACTGATATGTACACGTAAATTTCAGGTAGAATAGAGTTACCAATGGATTTCTATTCATATTAAAAACAAAATTGAATTACATGGGAAAGCTTTTAAAATTAATCACGAAATCTAAATGGGAGGACAAAAATATTATCTATATTTTAGAATTGAGAGCTGAAAAAGGGAACAAAATCCTAATAACATTTTGGTGGCTTCCCAAATAAGATAATCAAGTTGAATATTTCCGAGGAGCAATTTCGAGGTTTTCAGATTTCTCAAACTGAAATGTACAAATGTAGATTTCAAACAGGATAGAGTTACCAAACAATATGTATCGAAGTTAAAATACAAAAAAATTGGGGGAAGGAACGACACGGAAAAAATTGAAAGGACTGCAATTTTATTAGAGGAGGATAAAGAACATTTATTTTATACTGTAGAAACAAGAGCTGTACTGTATATGTATTTCTTTCTTTTTTGTTATGCCAAAAAAAAATCTACTTGTCTACCTCGTTCTTTCGTGACAAGAGAAAAATTGCATTTTTATCGTGTTTGTGTGCGGAAACGTTCCGCAGTATTTCGTGTATTCTTCTGTGTTCTGAAATTTTTCAAAAGGAATGATTATATAAATACTGATATGAGAGAAAATTTCCGTGTGAATTTTATCTGACTTTCTCGGTTTATAAATGATACTTTTCTCCTCAGCTGCATGAAGGAATCTGAAGACAAAACAGTGCACTATTGAATGGAAGAACAATATGAAGTGAAAATCAAATGCCTTGATGTTCCTACAAAAAATGTGCATGAGGAAATTAGAGATTTAAATTGACAAGAATTCGAGTGATTTATTATGCTATTTGAGACAATCTGGTTCATGGAATGTAAAAAATAACTTGATATTTTGTAGACTTTATCCAAATCTGAAAATGGTATATTCACCCATGAAAAGCTCTTTTGAATAATTCAATCTGCCAATTATTTTAATTTAATTCTAATCTCATCCTTATTCAGAAGATTATCACCCGGTTCTTGAGTCTGGGGTGAAAAGAATGCTATACTGTATAAACAATGTTTTTCTATATTCCATTTAAATTCCTATAATTGAGATACAGTACATTAAAAATTATCACAGGGATATTCAACTCAAAATCTTTCCTTTGGTTGCAACCAAGGCCAAAAATCACAGTGAACACAAAAATAGCAACCTATCAAGGTTTTCATGTTAAATTTTGTGAAAGGTGATGGTTGACAGGATTAAATAATCTGGAAAGCTTATTCCTGAAGTTTGCAACTTTTTCTGAAAACTATTCTGCCCACTTTTAGGAACTATCATCCAGGTGGAGCCTCTCTACAAGAAAATGCTGAGGACCAGAAAAAATCAAATTTTGTTGTATAGAGAACAACCCTAATAACATTGGTTGAAAACTCAATGGGGCCAAAAATAATTTTTTTTACAGAGAAAATTGATGTAGACAAGATTGTTGTATGAGAGAGTCCACATGATGTGCACAATGTTGTGGTTTTTTAATGATGTCTGTCATTTATCAAGTAGTAGAGCGTCCGCAGTGTGGACAAAAAAAAGAAAAAAAAAAAGAAAAAAACAATTGCAGAAGTGGGATTCAAACCCATGCCTGCAGAACCAGACTGTGACCTGAATGCAGTGCCTTAGACCGCTTGGCCATCCTGAAAACTTAATGTTAATTGATGTGTTTTCAAGTAGGCAAATTAATTCAAGGTGCAAAAGGCCACAGACACACGTTACACGTCCTTATTATTCCCCCCCCCAGACCCCTGTAGGATCCTATCGGTCGTTCCTCCCACTGCAGACATTAAAGATGTGCTGACTCTGGAAAACCTCTGCCTGAATCAATCTGTATGCATATCAATTGTGCAGTTGCACTTTTTGGGATGTATTTTCTATTCTTTTAATATCCATGTACAGCTTATTTCTCTGTTTTCCATTCTGATGTGAAGAATGTGTTTGGATGAATGTGTGTGGGGAAGGAAGGGGGTTTGGATGTGGGAGCATTGCTTGAACCTTGTGAATGCTGAAAAGCAGAAAATGAACATTCCTCTTCAATTCAATATTTTGTCATTTAAAAAAAATGTTCCCAGGTTTGACCCAGTGTCTCATTTCATTTTCATCCACCATCGCTAATTTTCTTAGAATTCCTATAAGAGTTACCTTCTCATCCAACACAGCTCCTGTATTTTGCCCAGAGTCCCAAGACTTGATTGAGATTCATCTGAAAATTGAATTTCGCTAATTGATACCAAGTCGTTCAGTCCCCCTTCATGGAGGGGTGGGCCGGGTCATGCAGGGGTTTCCAACATACCCAAAGACCCGGGTATATAACCAATAAAAGGACAAACCCGTTGAGTAAATCCGTATCTGATGGGAGGCCTCAGCAGCAGAGAAATCCCGGGCTGGCCATTAACCGTGGCCGGGGACGAAAATTCCAGCCTAATGATGAGCGAGGAACCCGCCATGAATGCCTAACGAGGAACCCACTGACAGTGGTGGGGACCCGGGTTCTGGTCTGTTCGGGTGCTGCTGCTGCTGGGGGGAGAAGAGATCTTCAGCGCAAAATCTCAAGCAATATGTGGTGTATGTACTGTACATGTTCGTATATATATATATATATATATATATATATATATATATATAAATGGAGGATCCTGCAAGGAGGATCCCTGATGGTAGTGCTGGTGCTGCTCATGCTGCTGCCATGTGTGTGAACATAAGATGTGAAGATAGCAACCTGGAAGATTTCACTATTCAGGGGGGAAGGGGGTTGCTAAAATAGCCCATGCTTATTGATCTCTTATGATTATTCACCTGTGAAAAATGTTTTTTAGAGATGATATAGTGTAGCTAAATTCTCTGCTCCCAATTTTTTTAAAATGATAAAATTCCATCAACAAAAGATTGATTTAACAGAGGAAAATGTTTTTAAGACTATTCAACAGATGAGTGCCTGAGATGATAATTTAATATTTTTTGTGGAAGACATTCTTAACTCCCTCTTTTTTTAAATGTGTGGCCTTCTTTAGCTTTAACCAGCAGGGAAATTCCAGGAAACAAAGAACATATTCATTAAAAGCTACATTGGTATTATATACTGGGTTTCTCTTAAAAATCTAGATTCAGGAGAACTGGCGGTAATTTCCCAATCATTTATTGTATGAGTCTCTGCTTGATACTGTACTTTTTTAAGTAGACTTTGAGTCTTACTTCCATTTGACCACTTTCTATAGAAAAGAAAACCGACGTTCCTCATGCACAGAAAGCCATGTCCGGAAGTCCATTCCTGGGGAAGTAGAAATATATGTCATCTTCTGAGGGTTCTTTGAGCAAGTTCTGATGACCTCTTTGATGCAATGTGAAAAAAATTACAAGGAGTAAAAAAATTACATTACTCATTACTATTGCAACTTACAAGGAGAAAGATGCGTATATTCCAGCATTAAAATTAATTTTGCACTGTTTTCCATGCCCTTCTTTCAGAAATTCTACATTTTCCTGAAAAAATTAAAACTCTTGTATTTTCTTTTTTCTTCTTCTTTCAATTTGGGTTGGCCAACAGAAGAAGAATTCTCATGTCTGGAGAAGTAGCAGCCAATTTTTATGTGTGATGAGTTTAATAAAAGAAATACATTTCACAACTGAAACTTATCTGGGAGCAGGCTGCATATCTTGTGCTTTAATTTGCGTTTTTAAGTTGCATTATGATGTTATTGTTGTTACTGATATTTTCTTTTTCTTATTTGGTGAAGGGAAGAAAGTGTATGCATTTACTGTACATCAGTTGTGCATTTGTACATTTTGTGATGTATTTTTGTTTTTCTTTAACCCTTGCTGGGCAGCATCAGGTCAATTTCCATTGCGCAGTGGTGCCAGGGAATTTTTGCATGCTTGTGCATTTTGGTTTGACCAAAGGTCACCAAAACGCTGCATTGGCTATGATTAGCCAAAGTTGGGAAAAACCCCAGGGTAGAAAACCCATTGTCTTCAAAACTCCTTATGCTAATCCTGTGGCTGGAATACAGAAAAAAATGCCACCAGGCAGTAAATGATCTTTTTCTCACAAAAAGTTTTCTGCAGGAATGAAAAGAAACATCAAGATTTTTCCTCACTTTGGCTCTTGTGATAATTTTAATAGGTATTTCCTCTTTTCTTCTACCAGGGGCACACAATTGTGCAAATAAATCTTGACAGAGCTGCCCAAAGGTTCATACCCATGAACAGCTTATTTCTCAATTTGCATCATGATGTGATGGAATGCGTTTAGATGAATGTGGGTGAGGGGTGTCAGAAAGATATTCTTGACAAGAAAGGAACCGAAGGAACCAAAAATGCCTTCTGATTGAGAAGTCAGATGAAAAAAGATGATGATAAAGCCAAGAGCTGAAACTCTTATGAATAGGATTGTAATTACAGCACAAGAAAAAACTGCAAAGAAAACAGCTCAATCAGCCGGGGTGCGGCTGGTACTAAAAAGTCCTAGTATCAGATGTTATATTTTTCTTTTGATAACCAAAGTCAAATTTGCACAAGTTCAACAGATTAGTACAACCTCAATTGGATATAAGAGAACAGAATGAAACAGAATGCAAAAGCCAGACTCTTGTGAGGTCTGCATGACTCAATGAACAAAACTCAATTGATTCATCTACTGGTTTTCACCAAACAGGAAAACTATTTCAATACAAAAAGATCCTTGATGCTCAAGGATTCAGCAAAAACAATGCTGAAGAACAGTCTAAAGTTTGGGAGGAAGATTATGGGAACTTGAGGTCAACTCTGGTCCCACAAGATTCCTTGCAGATAATTCGCTTCTGCTTATTCTCCTAAATCTTGCATTTCTAAACAACCCTTACTTTTATTTTTTACAAGGGGTTTTGGATGTGGTAACATTGTTTGAACCTCTTGAACACTGAAAAGTAGAAAATACAGTTTGTGTATCAAGCAGTCATTATCTCACATGCATGAATAAATTGCAGAGAACTTGAAATTTTTCTTGATCACAAAGATGCTTGTGCTTCCATCTATCTGAAAAATATTGATAGGATTTTTTCTTCAATTTGACGTTGAAGAAAACTTTGGGAAACTGCACTGCATCCTAGAGCACATAGATACCCCTGGGAGAATAAAACCCATGAAAGGGGGGAGGAAATCGAGAAGCAACTCCTTGTGGGTAAGCAAACCCCCCAGCATGCCAGTCGAAGGTATTGATTATGAATAATCCATAGATCGTCAACTGTTTGTGGCCTGCCACCCAACGTGAGAGAGGTTTCTTCTTTGCCTGTATCATCCCCCCTTTTTTCAGGCATCCAGTTTTCCTTCAGGAAATACAGCATCTATATCAGGGAAAGGCAATTTCAAAATACCATCCAGGGTTTTGCCAAAAGATTGTTAGACCAGGCTCCATTATATTGCCACCAGTATTTGAAAAAGAAAACAAAAGAACCCATTTTTACAATTCATTTATTGAAATGTCTCAAGCTTCCTTCCAGCATTCATGACAGATTTTGAACTTACAGTATTAAATTTTGTAAAAAAACAATGACCACAGAAACTCTGGAAGACAATCATTCGCTTTCATTTATACCCCGATTCAATCAGTGGCCTTCCATAATGGTGTAAAAACGTTTTTCAGTGAATCCCAGACATTGGAAACATATGGATTATTGAATAATCATTTATTGAATAAACAGTTCAACAATAAAAATTTTCACAATGGAATGCAGGAATTGTTGAAAACAGGACCAAATGTCTTTATAAGTTAGAAAGGTCAAACTATCTTTGAATCTTTATTGTGATGAAGCATTTAGAGAAATTGAAAAAGCTTTCATGAATAAAAATTTTGCCTCTTCCAATTGGTGTCATCAAGCCAGACCTTGATGGCTTGGCTTTTTGATGGTGCCTCTGGACTTTTTGCACAAGCAAAAAAAAATACACATAAGATAAGAATAAAGCACAAGGAAACTTCTCTGAATGTCAGCCAGGTACAGATGAACACACCTGGGAAATGCAAAGTATTTATTCATAATGAAGAGCTCAAATTAAAAAATGCATACCACAATATAATTGTCGTGCAAGTCATTTTTTATTCAATGTATAAAGTTATATGGGAAAATTTTTTATGTCATGGCTGTTGCAAATTTTATTTGAGACAACTTAGGCATGAGTTTTGCTGGAAACAAACTTTTCTCTTAGTAATTCCTGTGAGAACAAGGAGCAACACAACTTTTTATGGTCACACTTTCAGAGAAACTCCTTTCTGAACTCCAATAGGTCATACATTCATTCTGAATAAATCCTCTATCTATAAAGGACATCTCTATCCAGCAATCCTTGGAAAGTGTTCCTATTTTTAAACTGTCATAAAATTTGACATTCTGGTCTTGGATTCAATTCTGGAATCATCTCCTTTGGTGTGAAGTTTCAAATTTTGTATATTTCAAATGGTAAGAGTACTGTATACCATCTTGAACTAGGGTTTAAATCACCCCAGCTGTCAGGAATAAAGTTGGTGAGGTTTTAAAATAGAATTGATTCTTGAAATAAATTCAACAAGGAATTTGGTCTGGCTACAACCAGGGTGAAATCTCACCCTATTTTAAAGTTGTTGTAATTCAAACACACAGTCAACACACACAATATTCACAAAAACGCTGGAGTGTCTTGTATGATGAGAGCTCAGAGAAGAGTGTAGGATTTTGATTGACTCAGAAACCAGGAAAACTGTCCTCCAAGGACAAATAACAGAACCAGGATTTTAGCAATAGAAAACAGCCTTGGAGGCTTCCAGAAAAAGTGTGTGTGAACCAAGGTCTTTCCCAGTTCACCCAGAGATGCACAAGGACAAGTCTTCCCAAGAATTTGGACTCCCAAGTTTATCATTCAGCATAACAAATCACACTCCAGCATTTATTTTTGCAACACCAGCCACACCCACAGTCCAGCTGAGTATCGAGTTTTATTTTGGTTCGTTATTCTTTAATATACAGTGGCCCCCCGCCTAACAGACCTCCCGTGTAAGGGATTTTCACCAAACAGACCAGCTCTGCAATCAGTTTTTCCTCCCGCCCAACAGACAAAATCCGCCAAACAGACTTCTTTTGGTTTTAAATTAGTGTTGAAAATTGAAATTTTTTATTTTTTATGTAATTGAATTCGTGTAAAGGACTTTTTGACTAACAGACTTGTCCCTTGCACAAATCAAGTCTGTTAGATGGGGGCCGGTTTGACTGTATTCCTGTAACAATGGCCTGCTACACAACTTAGCAAGGTCAAACTTTATTTGACCAATATTTGATGAAGCAAAACATTTCCAGACATTTAGAAAAGCTTATTTATGCATACAAATAAAGCCTCTTCCATCTGTTCTGATCAAGTCAGACACTCTGACATGACTGTTTAATGGGGCCTCAGGGCCTTTTGCACGAGCAAAAAGCAAACTTGTATGTGTATACAAGATGAGAAAATAGCACATG